GCTCAAAACAATAGAAACATTATCCCAAGAATGAATACATGCAAATAACGTATGGCGAAGATTTCAATGTGTTGCATGCATATGTATTTGAGAACCATTGTGCATCCTCATAAAGAAGTTGAATAAATAAAAATCAGTACACGAAGTCTCGAACGTCACAACAATTCCGGCCTCAATATGAATCGTATTCACGGTTATACATTGCATTCTTGTCCAAATTACTCGTCGCAGACTGTGTTTTTTAATTGTTTTGCATGCTGGTGGATTAACAGGCACTTGCAAAACAATATTCATTTTAATTTTTACCGTGAAAGGTTTTATCTTTTATTTTAGGATGAGACCTAGATTCGTTAATAATCTATGGTTGAGCTACAAGTAAAATTAAAAATCTAATGATAGCCCTGTATACAACGTTCGATTCTGGTTTATCAAAGCTTCGAAACCATTGTAAAGTGACTATATTTTAACTTTACAGCGTTAAAAATTCTGCAACATTCATTCTGGCAATGTGGTAATATATTTGAATGACAATATAAAAAGCTAAAACGGTACCGGTATAATCCAAAAGGGTTTTCTATAATTTCTATCGAACGTAAAAATTGAGATGGAGGAGTATCGTGAAATTATCTCGTTATAACGTGGTACTAGCACTACGTATTTTCCAATCAATTTCAATGTTTTTGTAACTTATTTTTCAGTATTAAAAACAAATGTGTGATAAATTAACAAGGTGCGTTTTAAGGAATGACAAATAACAGTATATATATATGCCTTTAGGCGAACAATACCCTATAATTTGGATACAAATGAAAAATGAATCTAGTATATTGGAGATGGGTCTGACCCGGTACAATAGCATCGTTTATCTAAATATTTCTGTACAGAAGAATAACTGAATCAAAGCACTAAATGATTTTTAAATATGTTTTTCTCAACGTACAAGAATGATTTTTTTAGATTCGATTCGTTTATTGGGTCGATGTGATTTTTGTCTAGGGCTTGAAGCGTCTTAAGTATTAATTATTACTTAAGCAAGATACTAATATGACTCCAAAATGTAAAGGAATAATAAAATAAAATGTAAAGGAATAATAAAATATTGCCTTGCAACTGTTCGCATGCAAAGATGGGCCTCGACACTTTTCTCAAATAAAAATTGGAGGTTCCGCGGATATTTTTTGTGCACAGGCGCTGGCGATAGCGGTGAAAATCTATTGTAATATTTTATTGATATTTCGCTTTGTAATTATATTCACTATTCAAAATGTAAATAACACAATTGGTATACAATTATAGCGAAAATAGTCAAATTCAAATGATAAATATCTTAAAACTAGTAATAATTAGGGAAAATCGATATCATAAATTTGGTGTACAAAGTTAAAACTCATAGAAAACGTCATAATCCGTATTTTGCACATCGCTGTGGCCACGTGTTAGTTTTAAATGCATTATTCCGCCATAATCAATAACGCCTATATTCTACTTAATCTGCGTAAATTATAAACTTTAGTTATAAGTAAATATTTTTGATTTTGGATTTTAAAAAACATTTTAAGAAGTTATGAATTGTAATGAAAGATCATGGTTCCAGATACCGCGAAGACATAATTAACCCTCTAATCCCGAAAATTTTTTTTAAATTTTTTAACGTTTTTTTAATTAGCATTTGTCGCCTAACCAAGATGGCTTGAAAGGCCATCGAACGCTTGTTTGAATCGTATTATTGTTCTCTATACGCAAGAGGTCGCTAAAGGACCGCTTCATGTACGAAATTTTACGTAAGTGAGAAAATTATCGGCGATAGTAAACACATGCGAATCTTTCTTCTTTATGGCCTTTGAATTGTTATTTATGATAACGTCATTCTCTCGCAAGCGTTGTAGACGTCTCGCTGTTTGCTTTCCTAATAAAATGATACCACAGGCAATGGTGTAGCACGAATAGTTCCCGAGTGACGAAGCGGTATGTTTGTGAAGTCAACGCGGTTCTTTGCGTGCAGTGTTTGTTTATTATTGTGTGGGTAATTATTAGTGCGTTTATTAGTGTGTTTACGCGAGGAAAAATGAGCGCTCGTTCGCGCAAATGACTTTCTTTCAAGTAATAACGTATTCCTTTGTATGTTTCTTAGCTTTCAAATATTTATAGATATAAAACTCGTAAAATTGGAACTAGGCCAAAAGGGAGTGACGCACAACCGGAAGACAAAAACACTCGGATAAGCCCATATCATGCTTGAAAAAGGCGCGAAAATGTCTTATTGGTTTTGTTTTGAATTAAGCCTAAGATAAGAAGTATACATAAGAAATGTTAACTCTTATATACCAATCATGCTTGGGCCATATTTAAACCACACATAACTACCTTCCCGGAGTTAAAGGGTTTCTAGTCGCGAGAGTGGGCCGCTACATGTTTCCTCTACAGCAAAAAATGGCATATAAGCATACTGCCAATGTCATATGCATTTGCAGTCAATGCTATATGCATATAGGACCAACCAATTATGCATATAGGGCCAGCCAAATATGCATATATCGCCAATTCCATATGCATAAAAGTCAACCCATATACATATACTCATATACATATAGCCAATGCCATATGCATAAAAAGTCAACTTATATACATATGCAGTCAACTCACATACATCCGGCGCCAATGTCTAGTGCACATACTGTACAGCTAATGCTATATGCGTATACAGCCAACTCATATGTACATGCAGCCGACTCATATCGTGTGCATATACAGATAACTATTATGAATATACAGCCAATGCCATATGTATATACAGCTAAATCACATCGTATAAAACAGTGGTTCTCAACCACCGGTCCGCGTCAGCCTTCCTGTCGGTTTGCCAAATATATAACAATATTATATCGCAATTGCAAAATGCGAGGCATTGATGGCCGACTCATTTATTTTGTAAGTTTTTACTTCTATTGATGTGTAAACCAAACTTGTTCGGAGGTCATACGCCCATTTCAAACCTTGAACGGCTGAATGTTTCGGCTGGAGTTCGAGAGCACATAGTACTTTTCTTCTTAAACACGTAGTGGACCTAGGTATCGTTTTGTCATTACTTATCGATTTTAATCAGTAAGTATGATGATAGGTATTTGTCTGTTTATCTGTCTGTTTGTCTGTTAGATGCACGCGATATCTCACGAAAGTGAGATTGGATCTGCTGCAGATTTTGCATGTGCATTCATCATATCTCGGATCAGTAGCCTATTGATTTTGGGCGAATTATGTCGTATAATTAGCGAGTTATTAATTAATTAGTGATGGGACACAAGGTGTCACTATGGAGTAAGAGCGCTGTTTTGGGAATCCCCTAACTTTCTATCGATAAGTCTTCGGTCTCTGACCGATATTCTCGTTTTGTTGTTATTGATTATCATGTTAGTATTTCTTTTCTTCTTATTTTTCTTGTTGTGAAAAACCTCTTTTCTCATAACTACTGGACCAATTGCTTTGAAATTTTTAATGGTGAAAGATTGTATTTTATTAGACTATCACTTTTATTTATTTAAAAAATTTTTGTGGCCTCTATGGGAGTTGACTGCCTATGCCAGGGGTTCCCAAGCTTTTTTCAGGACGACCCCAAAGACAACTTTCAAGTGTCCAGTGCGACCCCAGTTCAATATATATATATATTTTTTTCATGAAACTTTAGAGCTTCTTTCACTGAACTTTTGAGTTTAGTCATGTGGTGGTATTAAGTAAAATAAGCTAAAACCCAACAGTGATGTCACAATAAACACCTACATTTTCAATAACAAAAGCATAGAGTGATGCCTATGTGCCTGTTTTACATTAAGCCATGGTACAAACTGCTAAATTTAACATGGTTTTTCAAATCTTAGATGAGTTGTACACCCATCCTCTACCATACCTCAGCAACCCCACCCACCCCATGACCTATTTATCACTCCGACCCAATTTGGGGTCGCGACCCCTGGTTTGGGAACCCCTGGCCTATGCATATGAGTTGACTGTATATGTATATGACATTGGATGTATATGCATATGACATTCGCTGAATATGCATATGAGTTGGCTGTATGTGCATATGGCATTGGCTGTATCTGCATATAGCAATGGCTGTGTTTGCATATGGCATTGACGCTATAAATATATGAGTTGGCTGTATTTGCATGTAACCTTACCAACTCCACTCTCTTTGCAGAAGTCGCGTGTCTCGTTTAAAGCTGATTTACGATTTAAAACCACGGTGACTACATTTAAACGTTACTACACTATAAATTCCACCACGCTGGTAAGTAATATATTTGAATGGCAACATAAAAGAATACTAGCATAGCCAAATAATATTTTCAATCATTTCTATTGGGCATAAAAAATTTACACGAAATGGCATTGTATGAATACAACTTTTCACTGCCATTGCTTGATATTCTCGTTTGCTAATGAATTTTGATGTTTTATCAACTTCTTTAATTACAAAAACAGATTCTCAATACAAATGTGTGATTTATACATAACATCATTACCAATGGGCGTTTTCCTAAATACCATAATAACAGGTTTTGCAAAAATGTCACCAGAATACCATAATCTCATGTTACTTATTCACTCTAAAAAAATGTGTTAAAATTTAGTGTTTTTTTAGTTAATTTCAAAACATTAAAATATGATCCTATTCAGCAAAACTACACGACCGACGCTCACCAAATGTACATTTTATTACCGGTAAATATAATTTATAAATGTATCCCGTACATGAATATGTATATCACAAAATATTCCAAGATATGCTTTATAACTATGACAAAATACCATGCGTATTAACTAGATTAGGTTCAGTATTAATACGGTACTTTTTCCGCCTCGTCTAAAAGCGATTATCAAAAACATCACGAAATCCTTGAAATATTTGTAGATTGCTTTACGTCGAGGTAGCAGGCTTCTATATAATACCTTTAGTTTTTAGTCTGTTCAAAATAGAAAATTGTTATCATCTTTTTATGCAGATGTTTCTAAATAGGAAGAGTTTATTACTCGTTCTTCTTCTCATTGGTCAAGTGTTCGCGTAAGTTATCTTTATTAATCGGATTGAGGTAGAAGGAATTTATTGAGGGAATTTATAGTTTCCACAGGGTTTCCAGATATATATGTCGCTGCCGTCTGGAAAAATATTCATATATAAACATATATCCCAATATTACTAGTGTCGGAGATAATTGAAAAATGAATTCGATACATTGGTGGTGGGTCTGACCCGCTAACGTAATAGTGTTTACCTGAATATTGCTGTACAGAAAAACGACTAAAATTAAAGACTAAATGCCATTCAATGGATATATGTTTTATATTATATTAGGATCTTTTGTACAAAGCCCCCGCCACTAATGCAGGGTAACTAAATAATGACTTTCTAAATAATGATTGGGAATGATTCGAAGATTTGAATTTCCAGCGCATTCTGCATCCCCAACTTTAACCCTAAGTGGATACTTGCTAATTTTTTTTAATATTTTGAGCCTTGACGGGGGTGTATTTTCGGCGGGGCATTGTACAAAGATGCTTATCCCACATATGGCAGATATCTTTTCTCGACGGTCAAAAACATTTTTTTAGGTTCGATCCGTTTATTGAGTGTCCTGATGTAGAATGTTCGTCTAGTTCATATTGCTGCAAAACAGTACAAGATGATGAAACGACCTATCAGTGCAGTGAGATCGTTGATGTGGTAATTTTTAAGTTCAATTGGTCATCGGCAGAATTTTTTCAAAATTCATCAATTTTTTTGTTTTTGCATATAACTAGTTCCGTACATATGTACATTTCAAGCTGGTCTGCCGGTCTGGCTAGTTACTCTTTCGCATAGGTCACTCCATTGGGTATTGCATTTCTATCCGACTTGATACGATTAGCATTTTATTTGGAGATAGATATGGAGTTGGGGCTCGCCTCGTGGTGGTTGATCCCGTCACTTGGTATTTTTCTGTTTTAACAAGATTCCTATTAGTCCAAATGACAAGCTAACGGTATAGTAGGCTACGTTAATAATTAATCAATAATAGTTGCGCAAAAAATTGAAAACTAGATATATTTTATAGTTGGCCGACGAGTGCATTCAAATGGATCCCTTGGATGAAGGAGAAGAAGAAGATTCTGACGATGATGGTAATGGTGAATCTGAGGAACCAAATTTTGAAGATGAGTTTGAAACAGAATCTTGGCCTATGAATATCGGTTAATTTTTACCTGCCATAAACGCTAGAAAATTGTTGTCAAGAATGCAAAATAAAAATCTAAATAAATGCAACTTCGTCTATTTGAGGCAGAAGCATAATTGATAGCACAAATAACTTATTAGTCGAGTCGCCCAAGGCCATTCACAACTACAAATTATCATGGTTGTTGAAAGATCCGTCAAGTTTGATAGCTCATGCCCAGTTTCTTAAACTCTTTACGATAGTCGGTCATGTGTGACAGAATAAAGTATTCCCGTATCTCATAAAAAGTGTTCACGTGAAAAAAAAATGATTATTGGCCCAATCGTACGAGTAAATTAAACTTCGGCCTTCTTCAAGTATATACTGAAAATCTGGAATCGATTGTCTATCTACAATTTTTTAACATCGCGATCCTTATGTATGTACACTGTCATATCCTAAAAAATATTTGCCTCGTGCAGATGACTATGTACTACGGAACAGTGTGCCAAAACAAGTTTTTGCTGTTCACTTCCAACTTACACATCTTACTGACAGAAAGATAGAAAAAGCGAACATCAAGTTATGCCAATCTACAAAACACTTTTAATAATAAGTTTTATTAGCAATATACATTCATGTCATCTGGGAATCAAATCACAAAATTAAGTAACAACGAACGGTAATAATTCAAGTTCAATTTTAATGCAAGTTTTTGCGATCAGCTAAGGTTCCTAACTAAAGTCATGTGGTCTCCAAAACTTCGCATAGGTAAGGGTGCGGTGTTGTACATTTTCCGTCTGCTAATCTCCAGTTTTTCAATCCCCATAATTCTGCACATTTGTGATTTCCAGAATTGTTTGGTTCCCCAGGAGCCCAATTTGTATCATTGAAAGCAGCGATCACGCCATCAGACCACGCCCATTTGCCATCAAAATACACAAGACCAATCCAAACATTCTTTTCTGGAGAATCCAACAAAACGTCAAAGATTTGTCTGAAAATATTAACATAATCAGCCGCAAAGAAAATAAAATTATAGTAAAATTTCATGAAAAAAGGCAAATGAGTTTTGTAGAAGAAGATTTAAAATTCATCACTGACTTTCTGATATTGGAATCCCTCACTCCAGTTGCAGCAAGTCTTGCGCCAGATTTTTGACACGCTTTAACAGCATCTGTGTAATCTTGCGTTGTGTTAATTTTTTTGTATAAATACCCATTCGATGCTGAATACCATCCTTGGTGTAACGAAACCTGCGTCTTTATTGAAATCTTTAATATTGTTATTCAACGTTGAAACTGTGATGTGTTAACTAAAATATATATTTATAAATGTATACTCACATCATTTGATGATTTCACTTTGTCGCCACTAAGTTGGAGGGCTAATGGCGTTGGAGATTTATTAATCTGTGACAAATCGTCTGATAGTTCTGAATTATAAAAACAGCGTTGCTTTAATTGTGAACGAGATCAGGATAAGATTTAGGAGCCTCGGAAGCTAATCTACAATAATCATTTTAATGAAGCCAAAGAAACTCTGGGAAGGCCCACGTGGTGAAAAAAAAATTTAAACAGTTCATCTCAAGTGGAACGAAAGTTTCTAAGCAGGAAGGCATCAATACTTGGTGGTGGTAAGTCTCCATGAGCTGATTAAAAGCGTTTTGTTTCGACATAGAATTTCATGCAAATATATATATAATACTTACGTGACTGGCTGGTTGTTTTTTGACTCAACTGTGAAATACAACATACAATCAAAAAATATGTATAATTGTTTCCAATAATATTGTATTATAAGATAAAATAGTTGATGTTATGCCAATGAGTTGTTTTGGCTTTGGCGTGAGAATGCTATTCTCGGTTTTATATCTAAGGAGGAATTGTAGGTTATTGGGAATGTTATTTTTCGTTCCATGTCTAATGAGGGATTGTAGTTTAATGGGATTACATGTAGAGTATTGGTTCTAATACAAACGGTGTTTTATCAATATTCCTCACAGTGGCCAATGTAATATTTCTGAGTAGTTCAGTCAAGGTATTGTAATTTTTAAAGTTTAAGTGATTGCTTGACGACTCAACGTCAAGTGAGCTTGCTTCTATTATGTACAATTCCTTGATCTAATATATTCAGCGGTATGTAGGCCTACTTGTTTTCCTGTCAATTGTTCTAAAGTACCGGAAGAGGTAATTTGTCAGTTTATTTATTATAATCAATAGGGATACTCGCATTTGTGTATTAAGTATTTATTTTGTGACGTAATGGTCTGAAGTATTTGGTGTTGGCCTATCTGTAGTGTCCGTATTTCAACGTAAGGTTCATACCGTGCAAGAGAAAGATTTCCAGAAATTCCAAAATTGCCAATTATTATATATTTAGGAATCATAATTAATGACGATTCAAGTTACCTGAGAAATCAGCACGAAAATCACGATAAACATAATCCCGAATACAACAATGACGAAAACGCCAACAGCCAGAAGCATCCATGATGATCGCCGTCTCTTGATTTCTGACAGAGACTCGGATACTTAAATTTAGATTGAAGCTTTTTAAATTTTGTACAATTGGTAGAACAGCTTGGATATGCTTAACATTGAGCATGAAATTAAAAGATTGCTTCAGGCACGATGCACTTCATGCGAACTCGACTTCCATGTAATTACATCTGTGGTGATCACCTGTGAGATGTCTAAATTTGTTTGTTTGCGATAGTGATTTCTCGCTCGCGGATAAAATGCGAGATATTCTGAGCAGATTGTATTGCAAAATATCTTTCAAGGTATATATATTTTAAATTCAATTGTGTGAAATCCAAAATTGTTTCACTGGCAGTAAACTTTACAATGCAGTTTTGCGCTCTCATTTATATTTTTAATAAAATTTCTTGATTTGATCTCAAATATATAGACACGAAAGTCAAACGAAGTACTGCAGTATCAAATTTACAATACCGAATCCTATAGAGCCCGCATATACTTTTGAAATAAATAAAAGTAATAGTATTCTAGCAACAACAACAAGCTTTAACAACTGGAAATTTGAAAGCGATTGGTCCAATAGTTAAAAAGAAAAGTGACTTTTTCACAACAACAAACTGATCCATAAAAGCAATTGGTTCGATCCTTGAAAAGAAAATCGATTTTTTCATAACAATAAGATGAAAAATACCAACAACAACATAATATTAACAAAACGATTCATAGGTCCAAAAACACTAAAAACAAATGAGCAAGGTTTACCCATAACCGTCACAATTCCTACTTCAATTTCCCACCAATATATATATATATTATATAATACAATACACATGCATACTCACCCCTGTCCATATTATTGTATGGTACAGATGACGATTGGTCGGTGTCCATTATTGGTGCAAGTTCGTTCACGGACAATTTGAAATAAATCGCAAAACACGGAAAGCTATGCGTTTTATGCCGATTGATAACATGTATATATATTCTATTTCCAAGTATTGTATTTGTGACGAATAATATCCCGGGGCACTCCAAAATCAGGATTATGTTGTGTCCGTATAAAAAAAACAGTCTAATTTAGAAAATGATAGTAAGCCATTGATAGTAAAGCAAATATTGTTCTGTTTTTGCAGAAAACAAAAATATGCATTCATTCGAGATCAATACATTTGGGTTAACGCTGTATTTTTACGCCGTGCAGTCTCATAAATGAAACTATATATATCACACAAAGCTCTAAATAAAATAAATAAGAAAGGCTTGAACGTTCAATCGGCAAAGCCATATTTCGCATGTCAATAATTGCACTATATTTTAAATTTACGAAATATTAAATTACAAATTCTGTTTGACTCATTGAAAAAGATTTTACATTTATTCGGCTGAATGCAAAGTTCGCATTTTTCAGAAGAGTTAAGAAACCGTATGTACCATGGGTCATCAGTTTTTACAAGTGACTAAGGCAGGTCACATTAAAACAATCCAATCCATCACCTGATGATCATTGAATCGACTCAGACTCAAATTGTCTTCATCGTGTTTTCGCCAGTCAAAGGGTTTCGCTCGTGATCAACGAAAAACAGAAACCGACGATAGCAACGAAACTCGTGCATTTTTGTATCGCTGTCGGATATTAGTTCAGTATTGTTAATAAAATGTCACAGATTGTATTAATTCTCAACCAGCCCAATCGTATTATCTTAACGTCGATGTATGCTGAATATTATCATATCGTCATAAAAGCAGTTATTCGTCCTATACGGATTAGTCTGAAATGTTTCATACAGATTTGACTTATTCGTTGCTATATAGCCTATACGCAACGGACATATTTGTCTCGCCCGAATAAATTGGATATTATATTATGACCATTCACTTGTCTCCAAAAAAGTAGAAGCAAATATTTTTGTCAATGAGCATAAGCGAATAAGAAAGCAGTTAGAAAATGAAGAAAAAGGTTTGCCGTTTTTCACGAAGCTCTGACTTTATGATCATGTTTACGTAACAGGTAACGTCTCGCGCGAATAACTTGAATAATATATTTAAACCATTCATTTGCATCAATGAGAGTAAGAGAAAATATTTTTATCTGACGAGCATACGCAAATAAAAACGTATGCAACACATAAACATGACGACTTTAACCCCGGAAATTCAAGTTGCGTTATATATACTTCGAAATATATTTGCATGCAACACATAAACATTGACCTTACAGTCACAGATAAATTAAAATTGCGGTATATATACTCCGTAAATATATTTAGTGTGTCAGTTGTGATGAGTTACCCCTGCCCATTAGTGTGATCCAATGGAATCTCTCTAACTCTGAAACCAACATTCAAATTAGCCATGATATTGCATTTTGTAGACAATTATTTCTACAACCCTCATTTTCTCCGAAAATTTTGGCAAAACCATATGAAGGCTCAAAAGTTATAAGATATAGATCGGTAAACCGTGTTAGGTTTATTTCGGGTTTGATCAACCGGATTCAAATTAGTTTTCATTTATAGAATACTTACTTATAAAATATAGCGACGAAAGCAGCATTTAAGAAATTTTTCGCTAGAATAAGTGGAAAGATCGCCACAGAAAATCGCTACCTTAGTGCACCATATTAACATAATTGTTACGATGTTCAGCCTCTAAACAAGTAAGTTTTAACTCTATTTCGCCTTCTACTTTGAACTTGGTCAATCTATTCCACAAGTCTTCTGCTGTTATGCTCCATATCATTTCAACTTATTTTGCTTAATTAAAACGAAGAATTATAAATATTAGGATAGCGTGAGATTAAACACACGCAGTGAAGTCTGCACTGAAAATGGTCGCATGTTACATCACTAACTATTAGTTTAATATACACCAGAATTTTTGCTATCCTATTTGCTGTCGCTGTTCTTGGAAGATAAAACCAAACGCATTCTTCTGTTTATGTCATTTTAATTTCCCTGGCCAAATATATATATAGAGAGAATAGATATTTAATATACGGTCATAGATAGGCAATACACATTAGCTTAAAAACGGCGTGTCGAAATGTTTAACAATCATTCCGCGCACTTGCGACGAATGGATCACTTCTACAGCGCAATACTGTGGTCTAAGAGAATATCTACCAGTTTTATGCGGCCACGCATGACAGCCAATATTGTGCATCTATGGGTTTGCAAATAAAAGAGAACATGGAGTGGTACAATCGGAAAAAAACTCAAAATTCTGAGTCAAAATTACATAAAGACACAGGAACAACTTCAATTCCATAGTTGATATTGATACAACTGACCCATTTCACCAGGCTTTTTTGGTTTTGCGAATATAAAAGATGGAACAACTTATTTTTGGAGCAGCACAAACATGGATTGAAAAATTGTTAAAAAATACAAAAAATAATAAGAATTTCGATATCCAGATAATACTAATTTTTGCGCGAAATTTCGTAAACACGTAAACACTCGTTTCCACGTCTTTTTCAACATGTAAACAACGACAATTTAATTTTATAAGGCAGAAAAAATAGCGAAAGTTTGAAAAAAAGGCTACACAAAAAGGTTATCATAATGATCATTGTATCATACATTTAATTAGTTTTAATTCATTTCATGGTTAATATTGAGAAAAACAATCAAAATTAGTATTCGCTTTACAATGATTATCAACCATATCAAAAATTATTCGATTTATACACGATCGAAGATGAACCATAGATGAAAGAAACTGGCAAAGTCGGTTTTATCTACGGACCAAATTTGCAAGAATAATTTTTGATATGAAAAAATTTTCCAATAGATATTCACTTGTAATAGGACTGTTTGGTTTCAAGACAAACAAAAATAAAAAACGTTTGAAAAATATTTTAGAAAATGCACTAAATTTGGGGCAGGCATGTGAATGTTTCATTAATATTTTTCATCACACAATTTGCAAAACAACGCATTTCTTGCAATTAAGAAATAATCCTGATAAATGATAATTTGAAATTTTAATATTGTTATTTCGAGCAGCACATTGAATCAAAAAATTATATCACGTATTTTTAAGTTCAAAATTAAAAAAAACATATTTTGTGGGCTCATTGCACATGCCTATGTACAAAATTTATACAATAATACACAAAATCGGGTTTTTCTCATTTACAATTTTATATTCAACACTGAGTGAGCGCGTCGACATGATTTCTTGTCGGTGTATGTATTGAGATTTAATTTACAAATGCACTACATGGGAAGCTGGCGCATTTCTCTCGTGTTTGAGATACTGTTGTTAGTCTTGCAACCTTGTAGTTTTTTCGATTTTGGTTAGTCAGAATCAGATTGATCTTTGTAACGCATTCTCCTAATTTGGGCGAGTTTTTCTCTCGCAGCGTTCAGTTCTCTCTCCTTTCTCAAAATCTCTTCTTGAGCCATCATTTCTTGTGCAATTCCGCCGACCCTTCGCGAATCGATGACGACTTCTGAATTTACGGTTTCTTCAAATGATGACGCTTCTCGTGCCGCGTTCACCAAGTCTTCTGATGCGTGTTTTACAGCATTGCCGGCAATCTAGAAGTTCCGTGTGAAGACGCAGAAATGGTCGATGTTCGGGAATAGGAAGAAAATGAAAAACAAAAATAATAAAAATAAAATAACTAAGCCATGACATGCAAAAGTAAATGATTGGTGTATGGCTATCGAAATTACACAATTATGATGAAAATAATAACTGAATGCAGTAATTTTTTTTTTATACAAGAAGCCAAATTTCACGATTTTTTTGATCTGTTATTATCTGGACCTCTTTAAGCAGTAACAAACAAATAAAATGATGCTAATTAAAAAAACTTTTGCTCCTGGTGACTCCCATGCACTGCTGTAAATAAAAATAAAAATAACAAAAAAAGAATAAAATAAGATAATTTATGTACAGCTAACCATGTCCATCTTTTGTACATGCTTGGTAGAATCAAGTATTTAAGTAATTCTGCTAAAAATGTATGATGGAATCGTCATAGCTAACAAAAAATAAAAATTGATTAACTATCCATCCTTTTCAAGTGTTGAAGAATCTCCACAAAAACAAAAGAAGCAGGAAAACATTCCAACAAAAATTCTCCATTATTCGTTCAACAAAGAGAAAAAAAGGAACCAAAACGATGATAGCAATCTTCAAAGCTCAGGAAGATGCCAGGAAAATAGAAACAAAAGAGATGGAAAAATAATCAGAAGGTGGCCATCGCTTTCAAGCAAAAAGAATAAATGACAAAAGAGATATAGGAATGGTTATAGAAACGGGAATTCTTTGAGTAGGTTGATTATTTTTTGACGTTCTTCTCATAATTTTTGTTGCGAATACGAAAGAGTCTTTGCCGAGCGGCTTCCAACTCTTTCTCCTTTTTAAGAATTTCTGCCTGAAATTCCATTTCTGCTCTCATTTGCATGAAGGTACTAGAAGAACCGCCGTTATTCCATGGAAGTGAATCTTCTTCTTCGACATTATCAACGGCATCTTTAGCCGCTTGCACAAGCATTTCAGTTGCGCGGTTTACACTAGTTCCAGCCATCTGCGATTTACATCAAGGTATTTTAAATTCATAGAAATCGTAATTTTGAAATTCAATTTTTAAAATTCTGTATGTCATAAAGTAAGTTCAAATGAACTTCAAATTTAACCAACTCAGCAAATCACATAATATTCTAGTAACGTCCCAAACAAAAAATTTTCCAATCCTGAGCAAGAAAGGTATTGGGAAATGTCATCCTCCGATATCTAATAGTGAACACTATTTGGTTACCAATATGTATTAGGGGTCTGTCGACTTTGTTGATCTTGAAGTTTTGCCCATCTCCTTCTGATTATATTTTATGGTTATTGTTTGTTGTTTATTCTTATTGCAATATGTACTTTAATGAAATATTCGGAGATAAAATCATTGTACCTTCTAGTTCATAATAGGTATCAGAATCAAAATCCTATATGAAAAATATCATCACTGTTGTAACCTGGAAAAACTATTTGTATCCTGATTATAACAAAATTTTACCTGTAATCGTTTCATGTTTTCACTGTTCGGGTCAGCTTTTACTTTACAAGCGACCAAAAGTTGAGCAGTTGATGCAGCGACTTGTTTCGCAGAGCTGACAAGTTTTTCTTCACTTGCTTCTCCTTGTACAGCTTGGTTAGCAGCTTCACACAAATTACCTGTCGCTTGGGCAACAGTTTGTGCGGCTGAAATTAAACCTGAGGACCATTGACCGTCATCGTGACGCATTTCTGGAACTGAACCAACCTGGAAAAATTGAAAGTTATTGTTAAATAATTGGAAATCCATGAATATCAATCTGAATTCCTTTAAGTAGACAAAGCTATTCAGAACTTGTTACGAGTGCATTGCTGTTTTCTGCCAACTGTACAGATTCTTAAAAAAATTTTGTTCCTTGTACAGTATTAATTATAATATATAACATAACACTCTTTGACAACTTCGGCAGTAGGTCAAATTTTAAAATTACAATATTCAAAAAAGGAATATCATTAATATATGAACATTTGGCTCGGCTCAGGTTTGGATCCCATGCAGGATTAATTATGTGCGAGAAGATTACTGGACTCCTTATCACCGCAGGGTGGTTCACATAACCGCTGGTCAGTTACGGCTTCCTCCACCATCAAAGTCCATGCACCTAAAAACAAATAACTGGCTGACTAATCCCATACCTGACTTGGACTGGTAACCAGACAAGAGGCCGTGATTCACCATATGATTAGGGCATCTTATTGGCTTTCTTCCCTCCCAGGATAAATATGTACATTCTTCTATCTATTTGCCAAAACCCATTATTTCCATAGAACAAACATGTCATAGTATTTATTTTCAAAAAAAAAATTTCATACCTTTCCTTGAAGCACAAGTTCCTTCTGTGCAGCAGAGGCCGCTTTGACCAGTGCAGTAGTAGCAGTTGCAATAGATTTTGCAGCTTCCAGAATTTGTTCTTCAAAGTTAAGACTTTCGTCTGCTTGCTAAAAATAGAAAGATTAGAGTTAAAAAAACAAACTTGAAGACTCAAATGAACTGGTGAACTATTACCATACCAGAACCTAAAATGTACTAGACGAGTGGACCTAGATCGTCATCGAATGAGTGCCCTTACCAAATTCTCCCGCCCTCAAAATGAACAAAAAAATGTAAAATAGCATATTTCAAAAGATTAGAATCACAAAATTCGTTTAGTTTATGTGCGAATTGTAAAAAGTTTGTTCAATTGTGGTGTGATAATAAGGATTGTCTTACAACTTGTTATGATGATTAGAGTAGTTTGAGAACAATTTGAAAAAAATTTCAAATTTTTCAATACCTTTGGCTTCTTTCTTGGTCGCAACAAAGCGAGTTTCTTTGCAGCTGCTTCAATAGATGCTGCAGCAGCAAGAAGTTCTTGTTCAGCGATAACGTTTGGATCATTAGGATCGACCCAGTCTGGCCCTAACATAAAAACAATCACATAATTAATAATAAGTTAAGGTTGAAATTGATTTTTGACTGAGTAATTCACAATCATGAAGAAATTAATGCAATGCTATTCGATGTTAATTAGGAATAAGAATGGGGAAGCATCATTGGCTGGATAAACTACGGTATATAATTGATTTAGTTCATCAACCAATAGTATTTTAAAAATTAAAATGGTAATTTTGATAGTTTTATCTCCGATAGAATATTGCACTAGGACAGGGAATGTTAACATTTATTCTGTCGTGTATGGCAAATTTCAAAATTCAAATTTACTCCCAGAACTACATATATAAACTGTTTCTTCCAATGTGCCGAAAGTGAATTAATAGCGTTAATATGTGCATCTATATACATTTGTTAGATCATAGTAAAATAGGGAGAAATTATAACTATTTTTGAATATGGCTTCCAAATTGATCAATTGTGTTCCAATATGATGTGTCGCAGATTACATTCCACTACCAGTTCGTGAGAACTTGTGTGAAAGTAATACTGAAGAAACAAAAAAACAAATTACCTTTCATGGATTCGGAGAATCTTACGAGATTGCTGACAGAAATGGCAACATTTTTTGAATAAGCTCCAAGGTTTTGCTTCAATTCCTGGTTATTTGGTTGTTGGGAAATGGCCAGAACATTTGACAAAAGTTTGCCGTAAGATTCCGCCACACCGCGACCCAGTTGAAGTGTAGATGATAACTGTTCTCCGTTTTCTGTATTAGCTGCAGTTGCCTTAAGTAAATACAATTATTAAAATTTAAAGTTTAATTTAAAATATTCTAAAGTTACCTATTGCCTCGAAGGTACCTATTTTTCAATGAAACTGTGATACAAAATAATTTCACTGCAAAAATAGTGATTTTCCAGAATGAATAGCAATTTAGATATCTGATTCCATGGAACCCTTTTTTGAAACTTGTCTAATTACTTCTCATATTTCTCAAATACCAAAACATTTGAGCGTGAAAAATTCAAATATTAGGGCTGAAATTTTGTTACTAATATATTGAAGCGTTTCAATTTGCCTATCACAATTTTGCATTTAAAACAAGAACCCACTTTGATTGGTGTCGCAAGTATTGATTGTTTTGTTCTAAATTGTAAATGAGGGGTGTGCAACTTATAGGCTTTGCAACTCATAGAAATTGGAATTGCCTGCACATACTAGATTAACTAAACTAAAAACTTGTTTCACGGCACACTATTCAAAATTGGCACTTCTCCACAAGCCGCACAATTTTTTCCTTGGGGCCGCATTTGTCCCGCGGGCCGCAGTTTTCACACCTGGTTTAGAGTATACAAAACACCAACAGGGAAAAAATATACTAAAAATAAAAAAACTTACCCTGCATTTATAGATCATATCAACAACAGCTTTGCGTCCCATATTTGCTGCCACAACCATATCTTCTTGTTTGCATGATTTTCCTGCCGCGACAGCTTTTGCTGTGGCACTGGTAATTGGTTTTGTGGCATGAATGAGTTCCTCGGGTAATGCTCTTTGTTCTTCTCCATCCACAGACATGAGTGTCTGAATATAGTAAATAAATATAATACTGAAATTTTGGCGCCACAGAAGTATGTGCACCAATATGGAGGTAACTAATTTTGTTTGCCTACTTTACATCAAGTTGTGTAAAGGGACTGAAGCCTATGGGCAGGGGATATATTCACTTAGCTAACACAAACAGTCCCCGAACTAGTAATAGAACCAAAATAAGGAAAATCGAAATAAAATTATGGCCTAACTTTAACCAGGTATACATACTGTGTGAGAGCACCCAAATTTTCGAAGTCACAATTATTACTTAGGAGATAGAACATGCCGTGACATCGTGAAATGCGATGGGTCAACTTTTTCTATACTAAATAGATTCTACAAAAATTATATCATTACCGGTATATGTAATATCAAGAAACTTAATTTAAAATAAATGGCACTAACCATTAGATATATATTCAATGCAATTAGTTTGTATATGTAGAAATATTAATACAATTACTGCTGGATTAAAAGTTTCTATTTTCTACTATTTTTAGAAGAAGAATAAACATCAATTTTGTCTGAATGACAATTTTCAAATGAATATACTTCAAATTTATCACATCGAATGTAACTAATTTCAGTTTGATGCAGACTAAAAAACAATTCAATATATGAAGTCACTTACCCTAGATTCAGTTTTGATGGCATGAATAGTCTGTTCGAGAGCTCGTGGTCCTTTTGCTGCTTCATCTTCAACTGCTTTGACTGTTTTGAGAAGCGACGTAACATTGGTCACCATAGCCTGAGGAAAAAAAAATAGAATTTCACATCATTTCATACTGTACTTTCCTTTCTCTGCGATAAATATCAAAATCCTATCAAAGTAATATTGTTTCCAATTGAATCAATTGTTAATCTGAAAATCAAGTCAGTTTCAATAAACAAAACACTCAGTAAATGTTATTGAAGCTTCATAAGACTATGTTTCGCCATAGGCTTTAGTTATTTTGTCGACTTTCAATCTCTCCTTTCATTTTACATAATTTTATTTGAAAATTTCCAACATACTTTTGCAGATGCCTTCAGATGGAACATGGCATTATCTTGTGCAGATTTTCCAGAAGCATTCTTTGTGGCAGTTATTAAATCATCTAGTGCTGACGCTACATCTCGAACAGCGTTGATCAGAACGACTTGAGTATCAGGATCATCAGCTCCGAGACTGGCTGCTCCAAGTTTAACAATGTCTGCCAATTTGGTAATAGTGCCAGAAGCTGATCCAGCAGCCCCAGCAAGCATTTCTTGACTGTGTGCAGCTCCTGATACAAGTTTTTTGGTGTCTTCCACAAGGGCCTTGGCTGTTGTCAGTATTTTTTCTCTGTTTGATTGAAAAATAGATAATAATAATGAATGCATGCATCTGTTAGCTTAATTAAATTTTTGGGTTAAAATAAAGTAATAGACTGTGAATGAGATTCAAATTTGGTACTAATCTACCTGTAATCAGCAAATGTTTCTGCTTCATTTTCAGAATTCAATGTGCCTGCTGTGGCAAACATGATAGTGGTATCGAGATCTCCTATGATGGCTTGTACGGCAGAATGTGCATTGATACATGCTTGAGTACCTCGTGCTCCAGCTTGCAATGAAGCGAGAACAAAAGAGACCTGAAATGCACAGAAAAATTATTAAAATTATCAAAATTAATAAAGAGCAAAGCAAAATTACGTATCACCAATATGTGAAATAAATTTTTTCAAAGTACAATAAAAAAACATTTTTTTCTTTGACATTCTAATATTACAATAAATGAATTTGCAGCGTAAATATTGTGCACAGCAAAAAAAATCACCAAAACCTAAAAAAATTTGTGTTAAATAATAATTTTACCATAAATCTATTTCTGTATATTTGATCCAATATTTTTATCTTTAGATCTACCAGAAATAAGGAATTATAGCTATTTTCACAACTCACAAAATTACAAAAAAAATCGCAAACCTTCTCAACAACTCCTCTCGATTTTTGAGTGAGTTCTTTTTTAGAGTAAGGATCTCTCGGATCACTTTGTACGGCACCAGATGCCGATACTAAATCAATGCAAGATTTACCGAGTTCCGAAACACTGTTCTTAATTTGATGAGCAACCTGAATAAATAAAAATATATCTGTTAGTAAAAAGGAATTTTTCATCATAGTCTAGACTTTTTCATTTCATGTCTAGATTCTATTTCATTTGCCATATATGGATGCCACCTAAACAACACAGCTGCTATTTAGCAAATGCTTGAATTATGACAGGCCAATGGAAAAAAATTATATGTAACCGTTAATAATGCAAAATTTTCATCATTTTTTTCAAATGGCCAAAATAATAGTTTCATAATTTATGTTCGAAAAAGGTCAAAAATAAAAATCTCCAAAAACTTACGTCATCTGTGTCAGCAAATGCAATGGCTCCCTTGCTGTCATTAGCAAGTGTTGTGAATTCTTGAGTCAATTCTTTCGCTTGAGGTCCGAGATCCTCTGGTTTTACAACGGCCGAACTCACCATTTCTTTACTGACTGTAGCAATTGCTTTAGCAGTTTTTACCATTCGTGTTTGGAATTCGGCAAAGCTTCCTTCTTCATAGTCAGAAGGCTGATCAACCTAAGAAAATAAATATTGTATTTATCAAAGCATACGAATGTTGCGGTTTGAAAATAAAGATTTAGTAATTCAGATGTTCAATTACTTCAATTTTGCATATAGCAATATTTTTATGCATATGCACTATAGTTATGATCAAAATTAAATAGTTTAATCAGAAATTTAGATTTATGGATCAGATCAATACATAAAATCAACATAATTAAGATTTCAAGAAGCCATATTAAAAATATTAGAACGAAAAATTACTAAATACAGTATTAATATTTGCTTGGCAATGAAGTGAAAACTGCCCCATACCCCTTGAATATACTTACATCTGAAACAGCTTTATTGATAGAATCAACCATTCCAGAAACAAGAGCTTCGGGCGCTTCTTCGACCGATTTCAATAAATCTTCTATTGCTTCTTTCATTCCTTCCGCAGCCTCATCTATCGCTTGATGGGTGTTGGTCGCCTGTAGCATGAAATGGAAATGTTGTAAAGTAAGCTTAAAAGATAAATTACGAATGATGAGAACTTTAACTTGAATACACTGATCATTCAGAAATTTTTTCGATATGAAGGATACAATAGTGTAAAAGGATTATTGTAAACTTTTACTATAAATTACAAATGTGCATAAAATTACGTCATATACCATATACATTTAAATCATTAAATTTTTGATTCCAAATTATATGTCAGGATAATAATTTTTCTACTAAGCATATAAAATGGAGAATGAATTTTTATAAAATTATTTGATTAGAATAATAAAACAGTGAGTACAAAAAATTAAATACTGCTCATGTTTCGATTAACACATATTAAATTCGGTAAACTTAGGAATAAATACCCTCAGGAATTATTAAAATGAAACATACATTCCAAATTTGAGGCATTCAATATGGTAAATTCATGATTTTAGGAAGAATTTAGATAATTTGCATTTAATATTTTATTATCAGACATTGAAGGCAAAGATTCAATTCAATCATTCTGTATAAAACCAAATTTAATTTCAATAAACTCGAAATGATTTCTGAAAATTTCTCTGTCATTAACTTCGACCCAATTAGAAATATATTCGTTAATATTCGTAAATATTATTTAGAATGTGTTTGGAATAGTAAGTCATTCAATTTTGGCAATCCCTAGATATACTATTCGCCGCAATAAAACTAAAGTAGCTCAAGTAACATTTCTCAGAAATGGACCCTCTTGATCTTCTGCTATTATAAACCGAGGGCTATCTTCAAGTCTGGGTTCCAAAGCTATACCTGATTTTAAGGAGTGTTTTATGTTCATTTTTAGATGTGCAAGTCGGAAAATTACACAAATGCAATTTTCTTTAAACTTTAAAAAGTGACATGAGCTAGTTTGATTCCACTGCGGCATATTATTTATATTATGAATACAAATTAAAATTTGTTAGTTATTGGCATGCTACTTCCACACTCCTGTAATAACACATACATAATCAATAATAGAGAGTTACAGATGACAATCTGTATCAAAAACGGGACACATATACCCATTACATGAATGAGAATAAACCAGTTTTATGAAACAGACAGCATTCAACTCCATACAAAACAAGACTATATTCATTAATGTTAATAAAACAGAAAAAAATTACCAACGTCTTACGGTACCACACAAAATTAAACAAACATAACAAAACAGTAAAGTTGCTATTAAAAATCCTTTATTCATTAGCTAGTTATGCCCAAATAATTTGTAATTGAAAAAAACTGAACATTTTATAAATTCAAAACTTGTTGGAATAATGCATCATATTTATGTATAAAATAATCAGTTATCTTGCTTTTGTTATAAGAGAAGCCGCAATTTTATACAATATGAAAATTTGTTATTTTTTCAAATGAACTAAGATTCAGATTTCAGTTCATTACTAAATTATTTGGACATTCATAATCATTATTAATTAATTAGTTTAATAATTACTCTTATTATCTTGTTTCGGTACAAGCCAAAATTTTATACAATATGAAAAAATTTTGTTTTTTCAAATGAACTCAGATTCAGTTCATTACTAAATTATTTGGACATTCATATTCATTAATTAATTAGTTTAATAATTACTCTTAACCATGCCACTAACGATTTAATATTCTTTTTACAAAAGGTCACCAGCAACTTGAACATAAAAATTATGTGAAATCACTCAATTAAATAACAAAAAGAAACAATCAATACTAATTAATCATATACTGATTTAAATATTTTAAAATTTGTAATGACTGCTACACTATTTATAAAAGACAATTGGGTATTTCTATTTTAAACTCTTCATCAAATAAATTTCACGTTATGTTCCAAGTCTATGCTAACTGAAAAGAAATCGCTAGTTTAACGAGAACCAGCTTAAGTGAAGAAATTTTGACCGTTATTTTTACTGATTTTAACTTATTCATGAAACAAAAAATCAAACTTAAATTATCTTAAGGTTTCATTTAGCAGCATTGCAATTAAAATTGAACATCAGTAATTAAATAATTCATAACACAATGAGCTAAGCATATACCAAATTTTTTTTTACAGAAATTTTAAATTTTTTGTTCCAAGAAAGATATATTTTAACAGTAATACAAATATTCAAAATTGGTGCTTATTTATTTAAAAAATTTGCCATATTTGCCAATCAATAATATAATATAATGTCAAATATTACCAAGTAGGCGAGTACAATTTGGCATACGACATGATTTTGGGGCAAAAAGGTTCATTAGGATAATTTGAAACAAACAGAATTTTATACAATTCAGATACATACAAATTATGGATCACATATGAACCTAGCTTCCTTACAGAAGTTGAACTCGTATATATTCAACACCCAGTTCCGTTAAATATGATTCGATGATAAAACAAATCCACTAAATTTATTTCTAAAACAACAATCAAACATGCTAACAAACGAAGAAAGACAAATAAAAATTAACGGAATACAATGTTACCACATAGATGACCTGTTTATATTGATGACTTGCGATCAGCTCAGTTGACTAGAAGAAAATGTGCATTAGGTTATGAAATACTCACACATATGCACACACACACACACACACATGTTAAATATAAATATGTGAAAAAAATTTCATAATTTCTTCTTACCGCATATGGATAAGTACTAAATTTAATACTCACACGACTTTTTTTAAACATCACATCATTTGGACCTGACACATATGCTACACATACACATGTGTTTAGGGATGTGGCATGGGATACAATCAGTGAAAAGCTATATCAAACTTTTTGAATATAGTTTTTTTTATATTTGACAAATATTATTTGTGATGGCATATAAATTGGGTGGTTTTATGTCACTAAATTAGGATATCGAGGGCTATAACTCAAAAGTGTGAAAGTTGAAAAAGCTGATTCCAGAAAATGAAGGGGGGCTCATATTTGTATATAAAGTTCAGTAACTCTTTATGAAATACTTATGAATTTTTTATCCCATTTTTCTTTCCCACTTATCAAGTATTTATATCACAAATATATTCTGGGAAAAGGGCAAATTTTAAGTATTGCCCTTTTTTCACTATCTTGAAAACAAACTTCAGCTAAAAGGGCTATGCTCTCTAAAGTATTAAGCTTGAAGTATTTCTTGCTACATTTTCAAATAATTTATTTTCATTCGCCCCATTTTTCTTGAAACCCTCGATATATGGAAGAGTTTAAAATGTATAGATTTTGAATTGATACATTTTCATATTATGAGAATTCGAAATAAAAAAATTCATGATGTGTTAGATTTTGTGAAGTTAATTGTGGAGCACATGATGATTATTTTGTATTATTGTATATAATGGATAACACCAATAGCACAGAGCAAAATATACTCTTTATGTTAGCATTAAGGCAGTTGGAAGTTATAAACAAAATTTAGAAATAAACATAAAAAAACAACAAGAGACAAAAAAATCAAAAAGTGCCAGAATTTGAACACCCAAGTAACATGCGGTGTGAGTTTGGAAACAAAAATTTTGGTTATTTCAAATAATTCTGTACAAACCAGTTTAGGACCGTTGGGGTCGTGTCGAATAAATTCTCCGATAGAATTATTATGCATGTGAAGTTGAAGATCCTGGAATAAAAAATTAAAAATAGCATGCCGAAAAAAACAAGAAAAACTAAGATGAAATTAAATGTACATTACAAAAATATTCAATCAACTTTTTTGTTAATAAAATGGCATCAAAATTAAACTAATAAGTACAGTCATAAAAATGAAAGTACACCACCAAAAATAGGAAAGAGACAGAATAAAACAAACTATATTTACTGAAGAATAAGATAGGTCACTGATGAAAATTATTTTGCAGGATATATTTATATGCCTTTTATTATGTAAAATCAGCCATCGCTAGATAAAAGGATATTAAAGTTTTGAAGAAACGGAACGGCTTAGCATTGCTTACCAATGATATTAGTAATACCTGGGTGAGGTGATGGGCATGGGATTCGAACCCGCAATTTTCACCTACGATCCGATTATAGTTAAATCTACTTCCTAGTGTAAGGCAATGTGTGTGTGTGAAAATAGAATAACCCAACACATAAAAGAGGAAGAGATCGACATGGCGTAACATTTTTAATGAAGCATATGTGCAGAGTGCAGCCATGCATTGTTACCAACTTATTTGATTACATTAGTAACAATATCACATAAGATATGTAAATTAGATATTTGTCAAAAAGAGTAGATATTTAATTATATAAAACAAATTATGTATAAGAAAATCTAGATCATTGCCTTTTTTGAAATGTTTTTAGCATCAGTTTTTGATAATTATACGAATAATTATGAATCAAAATTAATTAGACAACTTAAATTAACTTGGAACATTTCAGATGGATGGGCATCCCTGATTAGCAAACGCATGCATTTTATCATAACTACTTCTAAATTTATAAAATGGGGTAACCCCCCAAAAAAACAGAACCCATACACTTTTTATATACTTCTACAATAATGAAGAAAATTCAATCAACACATGAACTTATGTTTGTGTATGATTGTACTCTGAAGTTTCAGTAGTCTATGAAGCTTTGCAAACATTGGGGTGCGCCCCACACGAGGGACCTAGACAATTTTTTTGAAGGGGGGGAAGCTAATTGAAAATAATATTTGTTAAATTTGATCTTGCCTGCCTTATTTTGAATATTCACATTTCTTTATTTTAGATATTTACGTTCCATCCATGTATTTTCAAGGTGTTTTTTGAATGAAATATACTTCCGCCTTACTATCTGCTATTTGTAGCTTATTGTTAGCTAGTTATTTTTGAGGTGGGGCCCGAGACCCACTGCTCTAATGCCGCGGCACACAATTTGGGAAACCCTGTTCTATACTGGGGGTAGGAATTCTGCTTGGTCAAAAACCGAGCTTATCTAAGTATAAGCAGAAGAAGCAGAAGAATGATTTAATGATATATCATGCAAGAACAAAATCAAATCATGATTAGCTAAACATGATCTGACATAAATTAAAACAAAAAAAAATAAAAATTAATAAAAAAAATGTAAGATTTTGAAATAAAATATTCAAATAACTGCCCGAATGCTAACTTGCTCGAAAATTAGATTAGAAATATGAGAATTATGAAATAGGCTATACTACAGAAAACGTGAAAATTTCATGAAATTATTGTTATTTAATTAACAACATTAGCTGCTATATCTATTATGAATAACTTAACGGAAACTTGATTTATAAATTGTGTCGACACACGAATGTTATGACAATAAATTACAGAGATTGTAATGATTCATCTTTATACGTAGTTCCCTATTTTGAGCTGAGTGATTGCAATACTAATCAAGTAGAGAATTACTCTAAAAAGCACACTAAAATTACTGACATTTTTTTATTAAATTCTGAACTGAAATTGCACATTCAAGATTATTTTGATTTGAGGGCCAAACGCTAAAAATTTTACAGATCGAAACCTACCAAAAACGTTTTTCGAAAAGCCTGCAAAAAATATCGTCACAAAAAATTTAAGACTCAAAATTGAAAAATGTGTAAAAAAACTTGTAATTTCTAAGTAATTCAGTTTATCTATTACTAGTTATCAATAAGTACATATTTATGTGAAGATAAATTAAAGATTATTATACCTTGGGATTTCCACCTCCTTCTTTTGCAGCATACATAAGTTGGAGAGCAGATTCTGCGAGTGTTTTACTGTATTCTAGAATGTCCATTTGCCTTTGATGATTCTGTGAGTTTGAAGCTGCACCGATAGTGCCATTGACGAGAGGCTCGAAGTAGTTGGCAATTTGAGCAACCTAACAAATGAATAAAACGTTGAATATTTCAAGCGGTATTATATACAGTTTTTCAAGAAAGGAAAAGTTGAATTTAAATCAGGAGGGGCCAAAACCAAATATTCTACAATTCATTCTTAAATAATATGGGGACTCTTTATGTTATGCAAGTTACATCGATAGCATTGCCATATTTTAAAAAAAAATGTTAAAAAATATTATCACTTATCATTATTACCTTGTGTCCTAGTTGAGATGCATCTCCTTTAGCAGCATGTACAAGCGGGTCAACGCAAGTTCCAATCTCATTAACTGTGTTAACAACCTGACAATAGAAAATAATTTGAAGTGTTTGCCACAAGAAATAAGTTATGGATTTTGATTCTATATGCATAACCATAAATACAACATGATTTTCAAACGGATGTATGCATTCGATGGGGGAAGAAGCCACGAGTGAACCATCGGTTACGTGAACCACACTAAGAGTGTAAGGAGTACAGCAATATTCATCACATAACTATGCCTTACGAAGCTGCGAAAGGTAATCAGAGGTGCAATTGTATTTGTAACACTTGGCGCCGGGGATTGATTTGAGCTCTTTTAACCCTATCTACCAGAGTTTCCCAGAGGCCATTTTGTATGGTCTCTTCCGAATTTTTCTTTATCGTCTACCATTAGTCCCTAACACGACACTCGTGGCTTTTTAAAAGCGTATGCTAGAGTTCTTTTCCGCGAGATGACGCTCTATCAAATGTTGTTAGAGCCCCATGCAATTGCTTGATTACATCTCAGATAGTACCTTCTTCAAATAGCCTTAGCATAAAATGGTATTTCAATGACATGCGGATATCAACAAAACTGTTACCTTTTCTTGGAAGCCTTTCATGGTGTTATCGTCTCTAAGAGGCAGACTTTGGCTCATAACAGATAGAGATGCATTGTTGAGATCACGTATGGCTTGATTGATGGAATCGATAGCATCATCACATTCTATTTGTCCTGGTGCCTTGTCCCTACAAATTAATGATTTCATTAAATTATCAGACTTATGGATTGAAGCAAGAGCACAGCCATGATTTGTTTAACGAGGGGGGTTATGCTAGAATTTAAATAGTAAGCCAAAGGTGTGATTTGTGATGCTGTGAAGTGTCATTGTGCCCAAAGAAACACAATCAAATAAATTCCAGCGTTTTGTGTCACTATCTTCCCAGATGTTGTTCAGAATATTATAAAATGTATCAGTACCTTATGGATGACACAAGTTTTTTGATGGAGTCTGAGACAACGCGCGAATGTCCGCTGAGAACTTGCCAGGTCGGAGGATCTTTTGGATTATTTGCGAGTTTTCTTGCTGTTTTTATCAACTCGCTCGAGCTGTCCAGCATCTGAGCAGCTGATTCAATAATTGGGGCTTGCGCTTCACGAGCTTCCTCACTAATTTTAGCCGGTACACTTGCGAATTCTGGGTTGGAAGCAAATGTTGTTAGATTTTCAACAGCTTCGATGAGTGGCTTTGTCGCGCCGGCACAATTTGCTCTGTTTCCCTCTGAGAAATCTCCGTCAAGAGCCTGAAAAGATAAAAAGTAGAAGTTTGGTATTGATTTTGGGCGCTTCAGAAACATGTGTACCAATATGGATGTATCTAATTTTGTTCGCCTACTTTACATCAAGTTGTGTAAAGGGAGTGAAACCTATAGGCAGGGGGTATATTTACTTGGCTAACATAGACAGTTCCTGAACTCATAATAGAACTAAAATAAGGAAAATCGGAATCAAATTATGACCTAACCCTAACCTGGTACACACTCTACGGGAGTACCGAATTTTGTAAATTGGAATTTGCCTTGAAAATGTCTCAATTCATATTAGAAACAGCTGAAGAAAACTGATACAGATTATATATTGACGGTTGATTTGTGTTTGCTTGAAGAAGTCGGATTTTAGATGAAGATTAACGAAATACATTTGCATTAGTGTGTGGCAAGAATTTTGAAAGGCAATGAACATTCATTTTAATTCCTGCTACAGCATCTTCAGATACTGATCTACCATCGCATAGACATCGCATACCAAAAGCATAGACTAAGGATAGTAATTAATCTCACAAGACCCCAACTGATAGATACTTCAGAATAACAAGGTATATTTTGATGCTTTTTTACCTTGATGGACTTGACGAGATTGGCAGTGCTGTTGGCAACTTCTTTCGCTGATTGCACAAAATGTTTTCGTGCGACAGCGTTCGAGGTCTTGGAAGAAGCAATACGACATACGTTGCAGAGAGCGGAAGTGTGCTTTGCAACGATAGTGGCTGCAGACAAAACCTAAAAAATCGAAAATAAAAAAAGTGAAAAACTCAAAAATTATTTTTGTAAAAAGATCGTAACATAAAATGACTTAAGTGATTCAATATTCTCGCTGTCGCTGCACACTAACACAAATATATTCCTGTACATTTCATCTGACCAAGGTCAGACTTCCTTAGACATACATAGTTCAATGTCTGAGAAAGTCTGACCTTGGTCAGATGAAGCGTTACAAAAATATATTTGTGTTAGTGTGCAGTGAGACTATTGAATCACTCAGGATAGCTATCTTCACTCTTGCTAGATAGTATAAAATAACTTACTTGAGATTGATTGCTCGATGGATCGACGAGACTTTCGCAAGCCATTTGAATTGCTTGATTTGCTCTTGCGAATTGTGTTTGATCAACAAGTCCAGCAGTGCCAGCTTCACTATTTGGATCTGATATTCCAACAAGATAGGCAGCCTAAAGATAAAAAATTATGAAAAAATATAAGTAAAGACTCAATATGAAAAACATCCTGAAGAATTTAGCCTTAATGATTAGAGCAGTGGATTTTTTAACCTTCACTGTGGACCAGAAACCCAGTCAAACATTCCAGATTCTACAACCATTTTAGAATATTTCTAAGGCTGTAACAAGAACTATAAATATGGATAAAATAAAACCTATTACTGAAAAACAAAACTATCTTTAAACTGTAGCAAGTTTAATAATAGTGGCAACCTAATAGGTATTTGATTATTTTTTAACAACATACATATATTAATATAGACTCTCAGACTTGGATGTAAAGTTGGGGAACCCCTGGACTGTACTGGCAGAGCGGAACCCCAGGGTGTCATGTAACATTGGTTGATAACCACTGGGGTTGGGCAGTAGTTCTCAACCTTTTTTAGTGTCAGAGCCAAATTTCAACGCTTGAAGTTCTAAAGAGCGACATAAAAAACAATGCAAATTAAAATAACAATATAACAAAACTCAAGTATGTATTTTCAAATAACAACATCAACAAAACTCAGGATAAAAACCGATTGAACGATAAACTTGACACTGGCTAACTTCATATTTTCATAATGATATCCATTTCAATTTGAAAATACTTCTGTTTCCAATAACATTTTTTGACAAGGAGTCTTTTTAGATACAGCCACCTTTCTAATAAATTGTCCAAGCCACCCACCTGTGCTGCTGCTTCTGTAAGTCCACACAAAGCCTTTGATGCATTAGTTACTGATTCCCCAAACTCTTCCAGTTTGCTATTTTTTGCATGTTGAGAGATTCCACTCAACGATTCACCGAGTCCTTTTGAATTTTCCATAACACTCTCGAGGCAATCGAAATACGAGAAATCATTCACTGGCTCGTTCGGATTCTCAAGCAAACCTTTGACAGTCTGAAATAAAATTTAACAATTTCTTAAAAATTGCTCGAAAATCTCTTATGCAAAATGACCATCCACACTTACATTAAGTTGTCTCAATGCATTATCACATTCCTTTTGTCCTGGTGCAGTCTTTGTACAATGTGTTATCAAGTTGTTGATGCTTTCAGTGACAGCTCTGTAGAAAAAGTTAAGAAACAATTGTTGAATGAAAGAGCATTGAAAAAAAAATGGAAATTCGAGTGGAAACAATGTCCATCAAACAAAATTGTCATGCAACCTTTGAAACAGGAAAATAGGCTTGATACGGCACAACTTCAAAAAATAGAACCAAGTCATCTAGAGGGAATAAAAAGCGTAATAGATTACTGAAACTTTTGGGCATAATTATACAAAACAGTTTGATTTAAATACATTTTCTTTATTGCTGCAGAAGCAATTTGAGAAATTTATGGATTCTGATATTTTTTTTGGTCCCCCTTTTGGTGGATCAACGTAGACTAATATATTGACAAACTGTAGTAAAAAAGGCATTTGCAAAAATGGCAAATAGCTACCTCGCTGCAGCAGCAAGTTGATTCTTCGCATTAGGAGCTCCTGGATCGGCAGATAATGCTTTTGCGCCGAGTAACAATTTACTGGATGACATAGAAATAGTCTTCAAATTACTGACAACTTCACTCTGGTCTTCTTTGTCCTGGAGAGTAATTTGTACAATTATTAATTAATTATAATTGTCTAATTATAATTTTCAATTAAACCTTTTTGAAATTTGCATATTCGTCAGCTTGTCTTAATACCCCTCAATTTGGTCTTACCTTTGAATGTCCAGCCATATTCATTCCGGCGTTCAATAGCATTGCAAATTTTGAAGTATAGTTTTGACTAGCGTGTGATAATTCTTCTGGTGAATTACGAGATGCCCCGACCAAATCACTAGCTGCGATGTTCAGTTCTTCAGCAGCGTGATTTAGACCGGATTGTGCCCCTTGGAAGTTGCGAGATGAAGTTTGAATCTGAAAAATTTAATTGAGCTAAGTTAAAATACAAGCATCTTTCTGATGATAATATAAAATATGTATTTCCGCAAATAGATTGAAAATAATCTATTAACTTTGCTCTGAATATAGAAAGTTAAGAAGATTGAAACAATCACAGATACATCAAAAAATTGTGCTTCAAACATTGGGAACAAAATTTGGAGTGATTGCCAAAAAATTTCAATAAAAGTATTCTGTTGTATATATATACACAGGGTGACCCGAAAATGGAACCCAAATTTTATTGGAACTTCGTATTCTCTCTTGAAGATGTTCCAAATTTACTGTGGATTCAGTTTTTTTAGGGGGGGGGGGCACATTCAATGTGAAATAGTTTATCAGATTGACATGATTTCGGCTGACCACATTTTTGAATAGTCTAAAATTCTTATCTGAGACTGCGCTTTGTAAAACTGGCAACACATTATAGTCATTATTAAAACATCTACCGGTAATTGTAGGATCTCAAATGAAAACATTCACATTAATGACAGTTTCAAACCATATTATTGTGCACCTCTGAGTACAGATTCTTTTATATGATAAGGAAATATGGCATGAATTTCACTTCCACTGAATATAGGGAAATAACATAGAAACAGTGTCATCATGATGCCGATAAACTCACATAACCTTTAGCATTTAACATGCATAGCAATAAGTGAGGCAAACTTTAATAAAGCAGTGAGGTATGCAAAACAATGTGTAATGGTCGACAAGAATGAGAATATCACAATGAATAGTTTTTAAAACAAGTATTAGGCCTATTTCAAGGTCTAATTTGGCAACTTCAAATTGATATTTGATATTGTTATAGATTTTAGTACTTGAGGGTTGTAGAAGTTACAAAACTATTCCTGCTGACGACAAATTTTGGCCAAAAATTGTGCTGTTATAAAATAATTTGTGGGACTCTTTTATGAAAGCATGTATGTACACGAGTTGTTTCATTAAAATTATTTTGAAATTTTTTGCATTTTAGTATACATTGCTTATTACTAAGCCTATTTATTTGTATCTATGTATTTATTTGTTTTTGCTTTTATCATATTGAGAATACGGTCTCAGAAGAATAAACGAATCGTATAGCTAACTTTGAATGTTTTTATGGCAAATTCAAATTTCTTGATATTATTTCTATGGGTTAGTAATACAGGGCAAATTTTTTTTGTGAGATGACAGTATTGATGAATATTGTCCGCAACACTTATATTCAAATAACTCTCCATGACAGATACAATATCAGGGATAACCAAAACAAATGGAATATTTTAATACATTCAAAATTCTACATACCGGTATTATTCAATAGAGTGTCTAAATTTACCAAGTAATTTGAAAATTTTTATTTTTATTTTTCAAAATTAGAAATTTTGAACCTTCAGACAAGCATACCAAGATGTATATTATGTCAACTGGTAACAAACTACACAGAAAACAATGACCTTTATATTTATATATATTTATATTTATGATTTTCCGTATGAAATTTTCCACATGAATTCTTATTTAAAATGTGTTCACTATTTTTCATTCTAAAATATTTATTCGGAATAGTGAAATATTATTTGACCTTTGTCATCCCTGTAATCTAAACTATCCATTCTACGTTTCCATATTATGTTTACAAACACATTTATTTATATATATCCGAAACACGAAAATTGAAAAATGCAAACATCACAAAAACTTCTGAAGCACTAATAACTGCATGATAGCAGGGGCGTAGCCAGTTGAAGGGGTTGTGGGTCTGAACCCCACCCATATTGAAATGTAAAAACAGGCATTTTTCTGTATCATACAAAGAAATTTTTCGTAGCTTGAAACGCTTTTTAAGACCCTCAAGACTCTGGAAATCAACGTTTTTCCCCTTCCAGTTGACAACCTTTGAAAATTCCTGGCTACACTCCTGCATTATAGTATTCAGTGACCCGTCACCCTTACGCACTTGTGAAATATCGTGCCACAAGACTCACAGGCAAAGCAATACAAGCATATTGTATTGTTTCATACTCAGTGCATATGTGCTTTTATCTTACCCCTGAATGTAGACCCATTTGACCTACGTTTGTTGACAGAATTCCATTGATATACTTTAAAGATGAGAAGAAACGAAGAGGAAAGTTAGATAACGAATCCAAGAAAACAAAAGATGGCCATCGAATTATGATGAAAACGAAAATAAAATATAATCAATGACGTTGAATTTTTTTTTAATTTGGTAAGGAAATTATTGATTATTCATATTTTTGTCAAAAAAATCCTGATATATGTACATTAAGGATTAGTTTAAATAAATTGCCAATTCAAAAATGAAGCATGAATAGCATGAAATGAATAACAAAATTCTGGATTGTTTTCATATTGCCGATTACTAATTGTATTCCAGTGGTCATGAAGAAAAATTTACTACCTGACTGGAAAGGAGTTTTTTGCTTGTTTCTGCGATATTTTTCAATGCTTCGTCGACATCACGTTGCCCAGGGAGACAGTTGATGCAATTGTTGAGAGCATGAGATACTGCTTTAGCAACCTGGAAAATGATACAAACATTATAAGCAAAGACCAAAACAAAAGGAATGGGTCAAACAGTCAAAATATCTCTATATTAATATGGATCTGAGCATGTGCCATTATATTATCTATGGCTTATATAAGGAACAAATAAGATGAGTTATTATAGTGTATGTGTCTCATTAGATAAATATTCTGAAACACACTTGAGCCAATCTCTGTTGATTCTCTGGGTTATCAGGATCTTCAACAGCTTTTTTAGCTTCCACCATAAGATTTTGAGATTTATCCATGACGTCTCGGGCAGTACCAAGAAGATGCAATTGTCCGTTCAAATCCTGGGTATTGGCTGCAACACCTCGAGCTGCTTTCGCTAATGTTTTCAAAGCGGTGGCAGTGTCACGAGCGGCTGCACCTGTGTAGTCTTCATTGCCCTGAAATGATGAATATAGTTTTTGAACAATGTAACTGGCCTGTCTTTCAAGCTAGTCTTAAACCATTTCTAACCGGTTAAAACCAGAATTTTGAGAAGACACAAATTTTATGGCATATTATATATGCACAATATTAGAGAGTTTCAAAACTAAGGAAGATGTTGCAATTATTTCAAAATATTGCAAAGAAATAGAGGCTCGTCTAATCAAAGTTTGAAATAATTTCCAACAAAGTATTTAAACAAAAATTTACAGGAGCTTAAAAGTCAAAAATACGTTTCCTTCACGCCTCAAAACTTCATTTTCAAATTTCACCCTTTTTGGGTTGAAGACCTCGAATTGGCAAACCATAATTTTAGCTGAATGGATTGCAAATCTCCAAGAAAAACAAAACAAAAACAGAAAAACATTGGAAATCACAAAAAAAATTCCTAAACTCTTTGATTGAAATTTTGTTCGAACTGTTTTAAAGTTTAAAACACCCATAGAAATTTTATTAACCTGTGCAGCAGCAGTCAAGAGTTGTGCCATAGATCCTCCAACACTCTTTGAAGTAGCTCCAAGTTCCTGTGCACAACTAGCCATAGTTTGTCCCGGAAGTGGCAGAAGATTTCTAGCATGAGCGTCATTACAATATTCCGACAATTGTTGATCCAAAGCACGAACTGTTTCTAAGGCAGTGTCAATTTCACTGGGTCCGCAAACTTCAGAAGCCTGAATGAAAAAAAATATTTGAATTTTCTCAGAAGGCTGGGAACAAGTATTCTACGGCAATTAGTGAATAAAAGTGCAAAGCTCAAATAAGTGAACATCGGTACTTGTGACTTTGTGAGGCCTTAGTTGAGCATGGATTTTACTGAAAAGTTTGGCATGCAAGTATGATAGAATCCCACATGACGGTGTAATATATCCCCGAACGAGACTCAAAGAAAATTCGAAATAAATTAAAGTATTAGTCTTGTAGCGATTTCTTTCATCTTTACATATTGAAAATTTGAAATCGATCTGACAAATTTTTTTCGATTTTTTTCAGTAAAAACAACAATTTGCAAACTGATCCATCCCTAGGTCCAGTCCACATCGAATAACATTAAAATACACTTAAAATACCTTCAATGTAGCTGTCTTTAGTTCTGCAATGGCAGTTGCTAGTTTCTTAGTGAAGTTAGTAAGTTGTAAAGCAGTTGCTTGATCAGAGATTGTTGGTACAACAGCTTTTGAAGATGCGACCATTTTACTGCCAGGCTGATAAGAGGAAATGAAAAAAATTCATGTATTGTTTATAACAAAATATTATACATTGAGAAAATAAAGTGTTCCTATTGTTTATAGCAAAGTATTCCACATCGAATAAATAAAGTGCTCCCTTCCAAAATACAAGACGACTGATTATTTTAAATCTTGTTAATTTTTTTTCTCTACTATAAACCACAGGTAAGCAATTACAAATTTAGGAGACAAAATGTCCTCTCACTTATGTTGTATCCTAAAACATGGCCCAAGTTATTACACATAAAACAAAAAACCGGCGGAAGTGAGAAAAATAAATCTTACTTGTACAAAATCAGTAGAAGCATTGATGAGTTGTTGTTGAGCTGCTGGATTTTCTTGATCTTGCATACTTGCCCGGATCGCTTGGACTAAACCAGGAATTTGCTCTTGAAGTGCCTGAATGGGAAATTACCTGTATTAATGTTTTTGGTTAACAGCATATGTATAGCCAAATGGTTATGTATAACAATGTCTGACATAGAATAGAAGACTTCAATTTCTGTGGAAATTATTACCACGGTTACAGCTCAATATTACAGTAAAAATTAAATTTTTATTTTTATAGGAAAAACTTTGGCGTAATTAAGCCTTCTTTCATTGACTGTTAAATGCCATTAGTCAATTTTTTTTTGTACGAAATTTTGACTACGATTATCCCGATCAAATGTCTGAAATTCTGACTTCAGAATCCAGAAAATTCAAAATTTTGCATTTCGATTTCTGTGAGTTTAAAGATACGACTCCAAGAAAACTCGGGCTCCGAAGTCGTGATTTATTCTCCACATTTGACCAAATATTTATTTTAAACTGTATACCAAATGTCTCGTAAATAAAATCGCATCGTGTGACATTCAAGAATATTGTAATTGAATGTTGTTTGTTTATCCGATCACACAAAATCATTAAAAAGCGTATGAAGCCATCAAATAAGTCAATGGCTTGAAAATGGAAATGATAAAAATAAATGAATTAGATCGTTTGAAAAATAAAAAAAATTTTGAAACCTATTCTCTAGTTCCCCTATATCTGGTTTATGAGCATTTTACCCTGAATCCATTTTGCCTCTCAAACTATAAAAAGACTTTTGAAAGCTGTGAAGCAAAAAATTGACTATTATATCTGCTGTATACCTTGCTCTGTGCGATAAGCGCATGTTGGCTCGACTTGTTGGTGTTATATTGATCTGCTGAATGTGCTGCTGCTATAGTTTGTGTTGCAGATGCTGCAGCTTGTCTTGCAGCAGCTTCCAATTTCCTCATCAATTTTTTGCGAAGTGCATTTTGTGCTGCGGAGTTTGTTGCAGATCGAAGATTTTCGGCCGCTTGTTTCAATCGTTGTTGTTGCTGGGAATCGTGAGGGTTGCTGGCCGCACCCTAAAATGAAAAAATAGAAAAAAGTCTGCTTTTAGCAGTACAGAATGCAACTAAAAATTGTGGCTTATTTAGGAAAATTAGATCAAAGCGAAGTTACACTCACGCACTCAGAAGTACTCACCTCTAAGCAAAGTTATAGGCAACTACTCAAATGTCAACAGCAACTATATTCAAACTTTTATGGCGGTGCGATATATGCCAGCAAATGCAGATCGCCAAAATTTGAAGTTGTTCGAGTCAATATAATTATTAAAATAGCTACTAGGGAATAGTGGCTTTCATATATTTGTCTTAATAAACCAGGGTTTCCCAAACTTTTTGATCCATGGACCCCTATTTGTAAATCTTAGTTTTGACAGACCCCCCACCTTATGACGTATCAATTTCTGTGCCTGACTAACAAGGAAGGATAATGTTTCATTTACAACACAACAACACAAACGACATTAATGTGATGGACGAGGTTGCTTTTCATTGCATAATTTATCGATTCTCGAAGCAATTTGTGACAAAAAAAACTTGTAGATCCGACTCTACAGAAGTCTCGACCCAAATTTTGGTAATCACATTGGTAAGAGCTGAAAATGCTGCCACACGTAGGTTGTTGCGAAAAGCAATAAAATTTTAATTGCCTTTTCTGACAGCAATGCAATGGCTTTTTGAATAAAATCAATCATTAAAGATCGATCAAGCTCTTTTCATATCATTGTGGACCCCCTGTGAAGTCTTCTCACCCCAGTTCGGGAAACCCTGTTAATAAACAATGAATAGACTTCATAAAAAACCTCACCTTTGCTGCTTCCACCATTTTAGCAGTGGCATCAGCGAGTAACTTAGCAGCGGCAAGTAATCTTTTCTGTCTATCGTCATCAGATTCAGTTTCTGCTTCAAGTTTCAACATGTTGACAAGGTCAGAGGTCGCCTGAAAACAGGAAGTAGATTTCAAAATAAGGAAGTATGAAACAACACGTGACTCCGACCAAAATTCTTAAATGTGAATACTATAACAGTTATGATAAAAACAATAGAATAACACTCTACGTTGAAACACTGATGCACGGATGTGATGTATTGTGTTACTCATTGCTGAGAAAGGAAATAGTTTGAGAATAATGCACCCGTCAACTATTCTGTAATATGACTCAGTTTCTAAATTAAAATACATAACAATACTCCATATCTATTATACACATTATGAATTCAGGACTCGCAGAAATAAACTAATAAAATTAGGTAGCCGTTTTGATACAACTTAAATTTTTCAGTCAAACCTTTTGTTATATTGAAATAAATTGAGGAAATCATCAAAAAAGGGCGTTCTCTCTATTTTTGTTGAAATTTAGATTACCGCAAACAAAACATACATAATTGATAAATTTTGAGTGTGTTGGAGGAAAAACATGGTCATACGAAATCTCCTCATTTTATTCCAAACATTTTTAATTATAAAGCAATCATCATGAAGTTGTAGTTATATTATTTAGTGATTTTTTAAAAAAGACAATTTCTTCAAAAAAGAAGTGTTTTTGTTTCTGCATCAAGTCTACACACCTACATTTATTTTTACATTCAAATAAAAAAAAAATTTGATAAAATTATTCAATTTTCGGGGATGTGCAATCGAATCTAATACGTTCCGAATTATTATGTGAATTTGAACGAACAACACCAACTCTAGTAACCACCTTTAATGTTTTGAGTTTATTAAATCTTGACGATTGGTGAACCAAAAAAACACTAACAAATACCAATAATAAGATACATCTATTAAACTTGAAATTCGACAAATTAAATCGATGTTAAACTTTTTACAAAATTTAAATATCCTACCTGCCCTAATACTCTAGCTTGCTTCACCATTTCTGCAGCGTTCCCCATGCTACTGCACAATTTATCGGTTGCGTTTAAGATAGTATCGCAAGCATCATCATAATGTCCAGCTTCTCCATCGCCTCCGAGTTTAATATGATCGATGAGACGGTTCAATTGACGAGAAACATCTGTAGCTGCTTTAGCCAACTCTCGAAGAAGATTTTGATCGCTTGTTGCAAGATGTGAGGAATCGACACATCCATCTACTGCACGAGAAACGTCTCTGGCTGCTTCAATCAACTGATCTTGACAAGCAGGATTGCTGATAGTCGGAGCAACAACCTGAGAGAATTACAGTTGCAGGTTTGAGTAAGATTGGCAAAACACATAGTTGTAACGTATTACCCACTACAAATATTAAATTTAAAAGTTATTTCATAAATAAATTGAGGGCATCATCTTAAAAATAGAGAAAATTTGGCAAAACAACTACCTATATTATATCAGTAGCGTATAAACATCAATAACATTGATTCTGATTGAGTGTGAGAGCAGAAAAAGATGATTGAAAACATTGATATGTTTTACAATTTCCTTCAGAGTCTCACAAACTTTTTGGGTCACGAACCCCTGTTTGTGAATCTTAGTTTTGACAGACCCCCATCCTGTCCCCATGGCATATCTAATTTCAATGCCTCACACATGTAGGTTGTTACAGAAAGCAATAAAATATTAATTGCCTTCTCTGACAGTAATGAATATCTGCCCACATGGCTGAACCATAAAATGACATTTTGATTGAAATCAACCATTAAAGATCGATCAGACGCTTCATATCGTTGCGAACCCCCTGTGCCGTCATCACAGACCTCCAGGGATCCAGGGACCCTAGTTTAAGAAACCCTGCTCCATTTCACTGACCACCAATTAGACAGGTTCCAAAACTAAACAAAGAAACATGTTGGATATACCTTTGTGCACGCAACAAGCTGAGAAGTGGAAAGAGCACATTGTGTAGCGCTGGCAATAACACGATTTTGAGTCGGTTGATCCTCACTTTTACTTGCCACCATTTTTGCTTGCAGAACAAGAGCGGCTGTCGCGTTTGCCACCGCTTTCGCCAAATTCATGAGAGTATCCTAAAAAAAGTATTCATAAACAACAGATCAAAAATATGTAATATTGCAGAGCGTTATGAATTAATCGTACAGTACACATAGAATGTCACACAACCTTTACCTGAAATTCCTGGTCGTTTCCATCTCCAATATATTTTAAAATTTCATGACTGGCGTCACCAATTTTTCCAGCAGCTCCTAAAAGATTTTGTCTAGGTTCGTCACTGTAAGGTTTCGCCGCATTTAATAAATCATTGATGGCTGCTGTCAGATCTTTTGCAGCCTGAATAAATACATATATCCAATTGAAAAAGGATGAAAAACAACAAAAAATATGCAAATTTTTATGGCATTTTTATGTTATACCTTCAGAAGATTGTCACCTATGTTGTCATCTTCTAACAGAGCAGCCATTAATTTCAATCCTTTGGTCATTTCGCTTAAATTTGATGAGATTGTTGTAACAGCAGAACCAACTGTGGTATAGTCAGTTGATTGTGGGTCTAAAAACAATTTATATTCGATTTAATGATATTAATTTCAAGCATTACATTCATTTGACAGGAGTATGCAACCTTCAATACAGGAGGGCCAGATACAAATAACTGTGTAAAACCGCGAGCCGCACCTTCATTTAACATAGGCTTGCTAGTAGATGCAGACACAAAAATTTTGGATATTGATCTTATGTTGTTCACTTCTAAAAAATTAGCTTGTGGGGCGTTGTACTGTCATAGGCATAGATAATAAATTGGACTCAAGAAAAGGCTTTACAAAGCAAAGGGATTGGAATTACTCGCACAATGCAAATTAAACTAAATTTAAAACTCGTTTTGTGGGCCGCACGCCATTAAAATTTGGCACTTTTCAGGCGCACAATTTTTCCTTGTGGGCCACAATTGGCCCGTGTGGCCGCAGGTTGCACACCACTGATTTAAAACAAGAAATCAAGTATCACAGTGAATGCCATGTTATTTTGGGTAAATTTTTAGAAATCTATAAAATTCACCTGAAGTCTGTGTTATCACAGTTGCAGTAGCTGCATCAATGGCTGCCAGATTGGATTGTATGTTGTGACGATTTTCTTCCAAAGCATTTTGTCTCCATTGTTTTGCAGCCTGAATGATAATCAAATAAATTGAAACTATTATTTACTAAATTTTGTCTGAATAAATAAGCCTTAATGGCAAAGTTTTAGAACATTGAAAATTAGTATGCATTTATAGTGTGTAAAATGAATCTATATTCAAAAGTTATTTTTTGTTCCCCAAATCCAACTAAACTAAAAAACTTACAGCATCGGATCCTAGTGGCGGAAGTTCACTTTTTCCGTCTAAATCATCTTGTGCTGCCTGTACTGCGTTGTAACCAAGTTCAATGTTTCCCATAAAAGCTTGCTGCGCAGCTGTCTGTAATACGTAAATTGAAAGCGTTAATTAGGAGTATGTATTTATCCATAAAACAAAATTTCATGGCACGACTAGTCTTGAGTTCAAGCTGGGCTTGTTTTTATTGATACTGGAATAGTAATGTAGTCATATTTTGTAACTATCCTCAGTTGGTATTTTTTAGTGGTGATCATCAAAGTCCAAAGTCCGAAGTTTCAAATTTCATCATTTCCAAACTGATTTTATTTAAATTTGCAGCAAATTTATAATTTTTCAGCCAATTAGCACATTATAGACAAAAACGACAGAAAACAAAACCTACCAAAGGCTGTCCACCGTAACTCAAGTTACTATGTTTCGTTCCGTGTGAAGCTCCTTGTACGGCACCCATTGAATAACGATCAGGATGAGCTGATGACGATCCAATGATTCCTGGTACTGCAACATTACCTTGTCGCATTTGACTTTGAGTCCCGGAATGGTGGGCCATGTAATGAGCTCTAAAGAAATAAATAGTAAGAAGTTAAAAACAATGGTTAACATGTAAATGAGAGCAGAATTATCGACTTACTAGAACGATAACCAACAAAAAATATGTCCAATTGATCATATTGAATAGGTCTTGAGAATTTTTTTTCCGAAATTAAGCAATGATGTGCAATCAGTCACTGTTTCCAGAATGAAATGGATATATTTTATTTAGCATTTTTTACCCTATTTAACAATAATCATGGTTGAAGTGATGCAAATGCAGTTTCAGCCAAAATCTTTGACCTCCACTATGCAAATTCTCGCAATATGTCATGTCATACATTCAGGAATCTTTCCATGACGATCAATAATATAACTTATGATTAACAAACAAATAATTCCATTCGTCATTTGAGATTTAGGATAGTGATGTCAAAAATGATTTTATACGTTGACAATGTCGAGTAATGTCATCAGACAAATTTAGAAATATTCTACGAATGCAGATCATTGACCGGCGCGACACAGACTTGAGTGATCGATCAAAGTTATGTGACGTCATTTGATTGATCTAAACATAACGTATAATTTGTCTAGCTGACAGAAGTTAACTAAGAATTATTTGGACCTACATTTATTTCTTTATATATTTTATCTCACAAATTCACTCTTAATAAGGCTTTGTATCCACTAATATTTTTGAAGAGCTACAATTCACAGAAGTGCCGGAATTCAAACTATTTAAATAAAAGTACGATGCGATATTACAACTCGATTCAAGTATCCAAGTAACAGTAAATTATTCTTAATTGCGCATCCCTGGTCGAAATTGAGTTGCTCTGATCAACCAAACATTGTAATAGTATCAACAGAAATGATTCATAGTTATATCCTGGTAATCAATACTGACATCAGGTTCACAACCACGAAAATGTCAATTCAAATCGAGACATTACTGAATTGGCCACATATTTGTATTAAGAGTTATTGCCATAAAAAGTTGAAAATTCAAAATCTAAATCATTTAAAAAATAAACAAACTTCCTATACATTGTCAAGCCACTATTATCCTAGCTAGAAGGTTAAAAACCATGAAACAATATTTATTTTACGCGAAGTTTAAATATAGCCAGGTGAGCCACCATATGCCAATCTGTTTCAATATACATTGAGGTCTCTTATTACTGACATTGGAATTTCAATTTGTGTTTGTATGTTTGCTAAGTCAATCGTGATATTTGAACAATACATATTATACATTCTGCAGTGTTCCCTTTTATTACCCGAAGCTTGAGTATATGATTGACATACTATTGTAAGGGATCAGAAAAGCGAATATGCATTCTTGAATCAGAATTTGGTAACTGGGAACTCCTTGTAAATTAAGATTGATTTCAAGCACTTGGTCAAAGATGATATTGATTTTGCAATCGGAATAAAATTATCTGATGGGTAATAAATGAAAAGATATGACTGGAAACGACGACAAAGATTTTTGTCGTATTTTAAGTCATCGTGAGACTGGGGAGCTGGAAGTGGAGCCGTGGCGTTGTGTCGGAGATGGAGCTACCTGAAATTTGCGTGGCTCCAGATCCTAACAATCTAATTATGTTTCAACATTTATAATTCTCTAACACCTCAAATAAATTACAAAATTTAATTTTTTAAATTTATAATCTAATATAAAGTTTGAAACAATTACAGGTAAGTTGAATTTGTATTATCAAATTTTCAAATTTGGAACCCTTATATCATAGTTTCAAGTCCCGCTTTCACGAAACTGGGTTCGGACTGATGTTTCATGACAGCGGTCACACCAGAAATCCTCAACGGGTATGAAGCAGGAGGTCAGCTCTGAGGTAAAAACAAAGTTCCGGAGCTAGAGATAGAGCCCGAGTCACTATGAAACCAGCTCCCCAGCCCTGAATGAGAACCGAGTCAAAAGCTTTAAAACAGGGTGTGCCAGTTACAAATAACTGGATGAAAATGCGGGCCACACTTTTACTTAAAGTAGTAGTTACAGACACAAAAGTTGTGGTTATTAATCTTGTGTCATACTTTGTTCGCTTTGCAGAAGCTCGGATATAGGCATTGCAACGTGAAGGAATTGGAATTACTCGCACATACTATAATCAAATTAAAAACCCATTTCGAGGGCCACATACCAATCAAGTTTTCCTTGTGGGCCGCATTTGGTCCATAGGCTGCAGGTTGCACACCCCTGCTTTAAAATGTCAGAGGTCGCCTCGTACAATAATCATACACATTTATCAAACATACGAACTGCCTACAAACTAAGTTTACCAATTGCCCTAAATCACAATTCATTTGTTGCTAATTTAGTACATGTGCTTTCGAAACAAAAAATTTATTAGCGATTTAAGATAAAACTTCAACCACCCACCTTAGGGGTGAAACACTATCTTCTACCATCATTGCTTCTTCATCTCCATCTGGACCGAACGAATCTTTTGCCGATCTTTTCTTCAGAATGATGTCGATGTAACCCGCAATGAGTTGAGCGATTTGTTCACCCTCTGTTGTCTGAACACTGTAAAAGCCTTCTTGATAATCACCAAAATCCTGAAATTGAAAAAAATAAGAGATTTGAACAGTAGAATTAGGATTTAGGCAATTCATGCAGCTTGATGGCCTAGCGCAGTGCTTCTCAAATGGAGGGGCGTAGACAATTTTCTGAGAGGGTGCGAAGCTGATTAAAAATAAAAATATTTGTTAGATTTGATCTTGTCGCCTTATTTTGGATATTTACATTCCATCCACGCGTTATCAACATATTTTTAAATAAAACACACTTTCGCCTTACTTCTGTTATTTGTAGCTTATTGTTAGCTAGTTAGTTTTGAGTCGGGGAGCAAGACTTAACAAATTCTTAAAAGGGGGCTCGGCTTGAAAAGTTTGAGAACCACTGGCTTAGCGGATATAGCGTTATACTTAACTGTGTTGACATTGCAGATTACACATATTGGGTTCAAATCCCATACCCCAATCTCACCCAGGATAGAATAAGTGGGTACCGTTCCAAGAATAATTGGGTACAGTTCAATGCTTCTTGCATATCATGAGATAACAGTGTTTACTTACACAGAGCCTTGTTCAGAGCCGAATACATAAATACATGAAAAAATTCTATTTTATAACTGAACATCTCGTTAATGTAAAAATATCCACAAAGCATTGTAATTGAATAAATTTAGTCTACTCACCAATGTGAAAGACTTTGGTGATGCTGCCCATCTTTTGACGGAGGTCAAAGGCCAAATTTTCATGACATCTTTGGTGCGTTCGTCGACCCTCATTACACATTCTCTTGTAACCCCGAACAAACGTGGTACAAGCTTGTTACGTCCTGACATTTTTTCCTGCACAAAAAATAATCATCAATATAAAGCGAAGTGAAAGAGAAAATTTTGATAAAAACAGCATGTTTTAGTTTTTATCATAAATTCCAGTATCACAGTAAAATCATAAACTTACTTTGACTAAAAAGAAAGTTACACCGTATGTTTTCAATCCTCTACATCTTTTGACATATTGTGATTTAGCGTCCATTTCATTGATTTGTCCGAGTGTCTTATGTTCCATAAAAATTTTCTTTTCGAGGCCACGAGCTTTGACGTATTCTTTTGGTAAGAATTCCTTCAGCCTAGAAATGATGGATACACATTTTTTGATGATGATAATTGTTAAAAATCGATTTTTTTCAAAATTTATTCAGGTTCTAAAAAAAAGATTTTATTAATATTATTAATCAATATTTGAATATATATATTCTCAAACATTGAAGAAAAAGGAAAAAATTTGAATGATAATCATCTACGTTATTAACTCAATTACAAAATGCAAAAAACGAGGGCTTTAGTTTGGATGATTAATAATGGTAAAACGTTACACTTCACTGTGTTGGCATCGCAGATTACACATCTGGGGTTTAAATCCCATGCCGCAACCTTACCCAGAGTATTATAAATTGGGTAAGTATTGTATTGGCATTGCCAACGGAAGTATTTCTTTTTCTAAAAAAAAAGTAGCCCCTTCCACTTGTTAGTTTATATAAAGGGACGAAGGGCATGAATAAGAGTCGAATAAAAAAATAAGTTTAGCTCAACCTAATTTACAGATTTGCCAAGAGTTATGATCGGCCAAAAGTTAAAAATTTGATATGGACCAAAATTAAAACCTTACTCGAGATATCCTGGTTTATGTTTTTTCTCATTATGAACCCCAAATTGAATTTGACATTGGTACGCCGCAAATGTCGTGGCATCTTTTTCACTAACTGGGTATTGTCCTTTGATAATTCCATCTCGACATTGAACGTAAAGTAAATTGAGTTGGATCGGATCACGAGAATCAACATTTTGATCAGAATAGAAATATTTTCGTCGCAAAATGAGGGTTTCCAGTTCCTCAACACCTTGCTCTCGTAAAGTTTGTCCATGATTCAACCAGTTCACTAAAATTGAGAATATTATTTGTAATACAAATTTTTTTCATAATAAAAAGCAGGAGTGCAGAATTGGGAGTCGGAAGTTTGAGTTGTAATTACAAATTGCTCGAATGCCGAGTCCGAGTTAAAATTTCATAAATACAATGTTGATAAAGGGATTCGAAATTTGAATTTTCAACAGAAAACTCAATAGATTTACTAATCAATATTATTAAAGAGTCTATTAATTAATAATAATAATAAAGGAGCTTGCAATCGTCAAAGATTTTGTCATCAAAATTTGATTTTCACAGAGATCAATTTTTAGTTTTCTCACAATCTGGGATTTTCCTTGACCAAAAGTAGGAGATCAGAATCAGATTTCAGTAATTGTAAATTTTTCCTGAACCCACAAACATGATAAAAATATGTAATTGTGAATTTTCAAGACTAGTTGTGCAACTTACATTCATCATCTGTATGAAGTTTCTTTTTCAGTGTTTCAAATTTTCTGTCAGTGTCACCTCGAAGCAATGTTCCTCCGCTCTATAAACAATAATAATGGTACCGAAAAAAATTCTGAATTATGATACAATAATAGAAACAAAAATCCGTGCATCATTAATAATTTAGATATTTTTCTCCAGAATAATTTCAATTTATAAAACCAAGCATAATTGCATCTTAGAACTGAGTTATAAGTACTCAATTTTGCAATACAATCAATTATTCCCCAAGCAATAGCTTCTAATAACTTGAAATACAAAATACGAGAAAAGTGAATCAACATTACATAGTTATTGTGTGGTCAATATTCTGTTGAAAATTGAAATACCTTTTTCTGGTTAGCTCCATCGTCGGTTGCAACATCTCTTACGAGAGAGTATTCCTCGTGATTCACAATACCTATAATATATTATAATGATAATAACATAATCTAAAAAAAGAAATATAATTTGGGATATTTTTATATGGTGCTATATCATGCCTATTGCTCCAAACAAGAGACCTCATGATATGTAATGAAGTACTTTTGTATTTGGAAAGGCTGTAATCTATTTAGTTGGGAATTGCCTACCCAATGGGAGAGGTGGAGGGCAAAATATTTAAGCCTGAGATTGCACCGTCCAGATTATGGACAGTAGAAAAAAAATGGGAAAAGCTAAGGCAAAACATAAGCTTTGAATGCCGCTAGGTAAAATATTACACCACCAATTACTGGACCATGTTTTTATTAACGCTAAAAATAAAAATACATCTTGAAATAGAAATTTAAAAAAGTTAGAAATATTTACCTAGCCTGGTGCATATAGTGACCATCAATTGTCCTACTGTGTTGCTGTCATCAATCTGAAAAAGAATACAAATAGTATGAAAATATTAATTTCAAGAATGATGCTGATATTGAGGAGAATGTAAATATGTGCTTATTTGTTAAATTTTCAGTCATAGTTGTCTGTGAAAAATTATTAATTTGAACAGAGAGACAGAGAGTGTAATTACTTTTTATCATCTGCAGAAACAAATTCAAAAATGATCATTCTCAGCACAGGCTGGGTGGGGGTGGTCACGAAATGACCACACTATCATAAGAGTCGGCTGTTACCAATAACAGAACAGATGGCAGAATGTTGTTTTTAACATTTTCTATTATAAAAAAAACACTCTTTGTAACTCAATACAATATTTATATGGATTCATTTATTCATACCATAACAGTCTTGATACTGGCGTCCAAAGTTTGTACTTTGAGCGGCCTCTGTTTTTGCTTATATTCCAATATATCCTGAACAAAAAAGATGAATTCAAATATAACGAATTAAAAATGAAATATTGCATATGCAAAATGGGATGTTTATAATATCTTATTACAATTTCATAATTTAGTCTCAATATATATTAACTAGGTTTATTTTAATCAGTATTAAGTTTTGTTATATTTCATTTAATAAAACACCTTTATGCCCGCCATTATTTTAACAAAACACATCAGGTTCTTTTACCTAATTTAATATAGGACTTTACAACAAGATTCATTACTGGTTTAAGTTTAGAGGATACGTTTTAACAACATTACTCGAACAGAGATTTTCTGGTATGATAAAAATGCTGTCCTGGTAGAACACACCCTGGAGCGATCAACACGGAATTTAACGCATGAAAAGCAGTAAGATACTGTTTATATTGATGCTCTAAAATAGTAAATGAACGTAATAGGTTGAATATATTTTCCAACCATCTTGAAACAAATATTGGCTTTTGATGTTTTATTTAATAATCATTTCTGTTGGTTGTTTAACAAATACTCATTGACTGAAAGCTATTCATAAATTTGCACATATTATACCATATCTGTAGTTAAAATGGTATTTTCTGAAGTTTCGGAAAAATATGTAATGTTTATCGAAAAAAAATATTTATCAATTTCTTACCCCATCTCTGAGCAGATAATATTCCAATGGCCTTCTAGATTCAAGCCAAACCCCTTTCTTTGGGTCTTTATCAGACAGAAATAAACTGAAATCTTGAGCTGAAATAAAAGAAAACAACTTTATAAAAATGTAAAAATTATAAGCCATATGTATGTGAATAGCATTGTTAGACAATTTCGATATTAATAAATATTGAGTACTTGATTTATAAAGCAATTAGCAAATATGCTCTCTACGACAAAAGCAAATTGATAATCATTTTGCTTAAATTGAAAACAAGTTATGAATACAGTGGCTAATTAACAAATTTGTTTTCAAAACTTTCTTGTGAGGTATTTTATGTGAGAGAGTGTATGAATAGTCTTCAATTATACTACTATGTTCTGTGCTTTTACTTTATGATTTATACACACAGTTGGCTTCAATTTTAGGGGTATTTCGGTTATTTCAAATGCTTTTAATTTTAGGACAGCCCTTGCTAACTTAAGTTTAATGTTATCTGTATAGTATGTTCAGTAATCTTGTAGTTAGTATGTGTACCAGGTTAGGGTTAGGGAAAAATTTTATTCTTATTTTCCTTATTTTAGTTCTATTAGGAGTTCGGGAACTGTCTGTGTTAGCCAAGTGAATATACCCCTGCCGATAGGTTTCAGTACTATTACACAACTTGATGTAAAATTGCCGAACATATACATGAGGTACATAATATAGGTACTTCTGGAGCGCCGAATATTCACTGTTGGATTTCTCTTGTGCTATTGCGGAATTACCGCTGTACAAACAAAGTCAACAAACATCTATTTTAAAATATCGCCGGTATATGATAAGTGCTTTATAACAAGATGCCGCTATTTCCAAGTGGTCAACTACGTAAGGCGCAAAATAATCGTGATCCTCGCGTTTAAAACCGATTACCGCCCATTGAAAATGTCGTGTTTATCAAATCAAAGTGAACACGCCTTCATACGCGATTGGTATCCTGTCCTATTATGTCTTCAACTTTCGCGTTGCGGTGAAACGCAGAGGTTGAAAATGTCAATGAGAGGGCATGTTTGGATATCTACCTAAAACAAGCACAGGGGTTATTATTGCATTCCTTCGCGATGCAAAAATTTACCTAACACCCATATTACGACTGCAAATCTAGAATATTTCAATTGTGAAATTTAAATCGCGCTGTGGAATTGAAATACTTCCATTAGTGGAGATCGAGAGAGTAAAAATTATGGAGAAATAGCCATAAAAGAGCGGCTGACGCACGATGTCCGTTTTTCTGGCATATCACCGTACCATATAAGGCAATGTTAGGGCTGCGGGCAGACGAACGTAAACCTCATGCGTCTGACGTTCTCTCGTTTTTTAAGACTTTGCAAGAAGATATACGACGTCAAGAGATACGTACGCATTGTGTACATCCATACAATTCGTTTTTGGTGGGTATGAACCTCGATAAAAAAATGTAAAAAATTTACTGTAGACATGAAAATAATCCGAAAATTACTTTGCCAACAGATAATATTTCAAATTGCGTATTCGATACGATAAACAAGTTAAGACAATGCTGAATTGCCGCTGTAATTGGGCTCATGTTTCTTCATAGAAAACATTATATCCCAGTAACAAAAGGTATCACTCAGTACCAGATAATAATAACGACATCTCATCTTTTAACACCTAAATATTTATATGACCTAACACGGCTGTCCCGTAGTCATCAAGCATGGGCCTATTATCAGCGCTTCTGAAGCACATTATGTCTATTTACATCATCGAAAATAACGAATAATTAAAACAAACAAATTGTTCGTGTGGTATAAGATTGATATGCCATGGCTAGATTTGTTCATACGGAATGCATTATTCCAAATTTAGCGTGTTTGTCTCCGAAAGACACAACTGTGACGTCACAAATCACCATCTTACATAAAATGACTAATTTCAATGAAATAACGTCTTGGGCGTGATCCGTGGACGTGTAAGAAATAGACACGCTTTTGTTGCCTTGTTATCAGACAAACCAAAATTCACCACTCAATATCGGAAACTGCATATATTATTTTCATTTCTACACATGGCCAAGCATAATCCATTCATAACTTTCAATCGGGATTTTCCTAAGTGTAATAATCTAACACAAACGAAAATCAAATTTCAGACATCTTAGCGATGCGCACATTTATTTATACATCCGCACATCAGACACTTTAAATTGAAAATTTATTTAGTCGATTCAGTATTATCTGGCTGATATATATTTCTAATAGTGACGCACCAGAAAGTCAGAAACGACACTAAAAGTACAATCTGACAATAGTCAATTGTGGATATCCGCGAACAGTTTCAAAAAGGCACAATTGAAAAACAAAATCGGGGAAATAAAAACACGGAATGTCGCCGATAAAGTTGTTGTTAATATGACTATTATCCATTCCGATTTCCTACCATCATCATTGAATCGTGTTTAAACGTTTCGATTTTTATAATTAATAATTGAAAAACAATGCACATAGTACCAATGAACAGGTAAAATCGAGTTTGAAATAATTTGAAAAAAGGAATTTTTGAGAATATTAAAACAATGAACGCTTTGCCAGTCCTATTGTGTCTTTCGCGCTTATTGAACTGATAGTTCCGCCATAAGTGAAATCAAAAATACGGAAATCGGCTCTGATTCTTAATCCTCTAAGCAAAAGCTACCTCGAACGGTAGGATGAAAACGGCCGACAGTATTGTCATATTCTCATAATTAAAAACCTTGACACTAAATGTGATTATTTTAATGTACGACGAAAAAAATTTAACTGTCGGAAAAAAATAATTTATTTTTAATAGTCTAACGATGACAAGACAGGAATATAATAGTATCACGGTTGATGGCATAAAAGTGTTCTAGTAACATTATACAATTTTATAATTATTTCGTAATATTGCGTAAAGTATAAAAGAATAAGGAGTAGATTTGAAAGATATATCGCAACTTTACACATAGGGCTTGCGTCATTCTATTTGGCGCAGCCTATCCAAGAAACCGGCCACGATTTACTGATCAATAGGCTTCCATTACAAAATCAATTAATAAACTCTACATACGTCGATTACCCTATCACGAAAAACTTTTATAATAACCAATATCGAAATTGGAAATTCCGTGACCGTTTTTGTGATCTGATATGAGGAACGCCAAGAAATAGTAATGCGTCAAAGTCGAATGGACAATAGAATGCCAACCAGTATACAAATAACAGGTCATGAATATATCCAAACCGAAATGCGTAATCGATACATGCAAGTGAATCATCTATGATCATTCAAGAATATGGACGCAAAAAGACATATCTCCAAGGGGTAAGTTTCAATGAGAAAACCTCTATTGCGCAATGATTTGCGTATGATATTATAGCGTGCCATTCCATGCATATTCAGCACGGCTCAGGAAACGCATCGACACTAATACTATATCACATCCGCGGCCATTCTCGTAAAATTCATTACACCAGCTTGACATGCACACGGGAGTGTTAGAACAGCAGGTTATTTTTTTTTCAAGTGCTTTTCTCATTATTAAATCGAAATGAATGTATATTTGTCTGCCAATTATCCCCTGTAATTACATCCACCAGTAAATATAATTAAGTAATTCACAATGATGACATAATGGATCGTGCTCACTGCAAATCAATACCTAGTTATAGTTTCAACAAATATCACCTCTTTGAAAACTATGGAATAATTCTAATAGAATAGTTGCTTTGTGGTTCCCTTTTATCTGACTCATTTCCATACAATCTAGTATCAAAGAGTTTCAAGTCCTGTGTCAACCACTGCCTATTGAAATCTTTGTGGTAAGGATTAATCAAAGAGAATCCGAATTTGCTCGTAAAACTTTGACTAGTACTATTTCCGATAAGTTTGGAGCTCGGGGCCTTGTATTCGGGCCACTCGTGTAAAACAAACATATAAAAATATTGATATAAAAATATCAGTTAGTAGTCTACATTTTTATAATTAAGTCAATCAAATTATAATTTAACATATCATAATATTGTATTATGATTTTCCTATGCAAACAACCCAATTTAGAGGATCTGAAAATAAAAATAATAATCATGGCAGTTTTCTCCTAGAATATTCCCAGATTTTTTCAATATATATTTTACCACCGCTGCGCCAAAGCCCTAAATGTATCCAAAATAGTACATAATGCTATTTCCACCATGTTTAACTATGTCTGACCCTGATTTGAGCATAGCTGATCCAGATTAGACTTATCCATTTATATTTATAAGCAAAATAATTAAAGTAGCGTTAAAACCGGGTTTTTGTGTGAAAATGAATTTTATTAATATATAAGCAGGAAACAGAATGGGTTAAAACAATTATAAATCACAAACCGAAATAGAAATATTATTTCGAACTGATCTGTTACTGGCTGATACATAATAATGGGATACCCTCAAAAAACAGAACCCAGAGCATTTGAAACATATTACAACAGAGAGAAGACAGTTTTTATGCAAAATGTCATAGATTACCTACTTTTGGGCACAATCACATACAAGCGGTTTTATGGATCCTCCTGTAAAAGTGAAACACTTCTTCACAAAAGGTGATATTTGTTTCTTGTTCTATAAATTTATGCATTTAAATCAGTGGTTCCCGAAGGTATTTGACCAGGGGCCAAAATTAGAAGCTGAAGGACATTCGGGGGCCAAGATAGGGAAACGCCCGCAAGGGGTCGGTGCTGGTACATATGATGAAGATACAGGTATAATTGAATTGTTACGAATATACAAATGCTTGAACTGTGATAATACCATAAAATTGGCTGTATCTAGAACACGAAAAGGTAAAACAAACAAAGTGTTGAACTATTTCACTAAGTTCAGCGGGCCAATTTAAATTGTAACGCGGGCCGTACTTGACCCGCGGGCTGCGGTTCGGGAACCACTGAATTAAATGAGGTACCGGTATTGAGATATTACATATTCAACTAACATTTTGAAATATCAAAATAACAATCCCACAATAATATAATACACACCTTGTCCTACTTGAGCTTCAGGCGTTTTCTCTCTGATAATTCTACAGGCATCGTAAACAATGCAGGCAGGATCAAACTGCATAGTTTTGACGACATTTTTGCTTTTAATTTCGATCTTCAGTGAAAGATTCACCATCCTGATTTTTCTATTTAATTTTCTGCTGATTTTATTCTTCGAAAATTACGCCTTTTCTGATACAAGGCGAAGACGGTCTTTAAATATTTATTCCTCGGCTTACGGAAGCCGCATTGATTTTGGCTTTGTGAGATTTCTAATTTTTATTATTATTTTTGTTCTTAAATTCTATTTCATTAACTTAATGTGAAGATGTGGCTGGAATATATAATTAGATGAAATTAATTAAATTAGAAACTAGAATAGAGAAGACAAAAACTATTCTACTATTATGACAAATAAATTTATCAGAAAACTAATTTTAACTAAACATTTCGGATAGAGACAATAAATACTTTAATTCTAATAATTTCAAATATTCCGAAAACTTAATTCAATGAACCCATTGGCAAAAAACTATTCTTCCTCATAAGTTTCTGTGTGCGTCAAAATTTATAAAGTACGTCACAGACTCACAGCCAGTCATTCTGATTTGTACTGGCACCATTCCACTTTGGATAAAGGTCAAAATCTCTATCATGTTAGCCTGTATGAACTTAACCTGAACTGAACTCAATGTACCAGTGAAAATAGACATTTCAATGACGATGAAGATGTTTTCAATATTCAGTATTTCTCTGTTACCTTGATAACAAAGCGAGGATGAATTCCGTATTTATAAAGAACCAATTAGAACAAACAACTGAAAATCATATATTCTACATTCTACAAATATATCTTTCAAATTCCAAACAAAAGTTTGCTGCAGCCTAAACTCTCAATTTCTCAATTTTTTCAAATAGGCCTATCAGGTTCAAAAGGATTGAAATACTGATTAAGATATAAAACCCATGTAATACCAATATGTGATATTTTTGAGCCATCATTTCATATCAAATTGATAAAAAAAATGATATTTCAATCCTTAAACCTCAATTTGAATAAATGAAAACATGGTGATAGTTAGACCTGCCAACAAGCTTGTGTAATTTAATAATACTGTTGCAATATTGCCACCAGCTATCCAGTACTCCCTTTAATTATTTATACAATGAAACTCAACTGCTTACAAGAAGAATGTGCATGGATCACCGATAAATTATCACTGTAGCTGAAATCAAGTGTGATAAGAGATAGATGAATAAAATTTAAAATTTGGAAGTTTTATACAAGTCTTCCATTAGATGGACGACCAACAGCTTGGGTGGTCATTTTTTACACAAAACACAGGTTGACACTGAAATCCAAAATTGATATTGATTCGGTAGTAACGTGTGTCAAGTTGCGTAATTTGTATAATTGCATTAACATGTATAAATCGAACAAAAGCATTTTTCCGTTTATGATTGAATTCCGTATGCAAATAATTTGGCATTTTGGTAAGCTGTGGTGCAATTAATCTGAATTGTTGATCAATGCCTTGCAATTAATGAGCGCATTTTGCGCTTTGTGATGAATTAAAAACTGTAAATGAATCAACAGTATCAATTCAATCTACGGTAATATGCAAGCACATTTAATTTTCAAATACTACTAATGGGAAACTCTATTAATTACTCATATAGGCTACTGTCATATTGCTTGGTAAGATCCTCATTAAAGCCTGCATAAACCTAAATTGAAATTTTTATACTCCTATTTCTAAATATAAACTGATGTAAGTAAACTTACAAAACTTTTTTGAAGATATCAACAATTATCAAACTTAATAACATATCAGTTTGGTACAGCAGAAGTAAATCAGTCTGATGAATTTTAACTTCTCGAAGCCTAAGCATCAAATAACCAACGCATTTCCTTCCTCTCTTTTGAATACACACTATAGTAAGGTGAATGTTCTGTATACTATAACTGCAATACAGTAATCAAAGTACCGTAGTTTACGAATACTGAGAAATCAATGACTATTTATTAAGGCAAGTCATTCATACAATTTGATTTAGCAAAAAAACTATCTTTAAAAATTTGTACCACAATCTACAGGCTTCACTGATAATAGTATAAATAGGAGAAATTTTGCAGCAAATTTATTGAAATTTTACAGTTAATGAATCTATGGTACTTTGAATTAAATGTGGCGTTGAATGCAAAGTGCTCCTGAAACTTATTGGCATATTTTGGTACTCCAATTAAAATGTGACACAATGGGGCGATACCCAGATGCCAAGAAATTAATTTTTGTCAGTTGGATCAAATTATGAATATACTTCGAGCAATATTATTTCGAGCACACAAAAATCATTCCCCACTCAATGTTACTCTAAAAGTAGATTATTAGATACTATTCAAATTACAAGAAGAGTGATTCTTATATTAAACACACACTTATTCTATACCCAGCATATTTCAAATGCAGTCACATCCATAATATCATTTTATGCATACAACAGCAAAACTTGAATATTTTGAGATTCTATGCTAACTATATTATTTATCAAATATTCCGTGATATATCTCTAAAAATCTCTTCATGTAAACCCATACAGATTCAGTATATATGGTAAATACATTTTTAGCTTCTGGTGTTGGACCCACTACATCATTCTATTATGATAAATGTTTTAAAATATTTTTTCTGCAAAATGCGTAGTAGGAATCCATCCAAGTATCTTTTTTAAATAAATATATATACCCGTAAGATATGAATCGAAGACAGAATGTATTTACGAAGATTAGATTTCAAAATGCATAACTGACAGTATGCTTCTTATCGATAAACTCTCTTGAAATGCTCCCCATTGTATCGGTATGTTTATACAAGCCAAAAATGTACCGCCTCACTGAAGATGGAAGTAGGCTTAAAAGTACGATAACACCTTTCATTCGCTGCTATTAACGGGTGCCAATTTTTTAAATGCACTTAAAAATAAATCGGGGTTGCCTACTATCTATCAAACAGAGAAAATTCCTTAGTGCGCCTTAGTCTTGCTTCAGTGATTTACCCATGTTATCGCAGTAAAAATTGAAGGATACGGTCTGCATGACAAAAGAATTTGAAAAATGTGGAGCCACACAAAATTTTACTGTTAGCTGAAACTTAGTGGTTTAGATTAGTGCATAAAGATTATCACGAAGAGTACAAAGCCACAGAAGATAAAACTTAAAATTACATTCCATTTTTATACCTACACGACTGCCACGACCGAAAAATTAAGCATGATCATTCCATAACCAGCATACTTTATGGATTGCCCAAATGTGTAAAGAAGATAATTATTCAAAAGAGATAGATACGCTTGTTGTACCAATTTGGCCCCAAGCTATGTTAGTAATATGTGGTACAAAAAAATGCCAACATATCAAAATATGAACATCAATATAACTTTAAAATAAAAACATATTAGCTACTCCGACGAGTCTACAACTTTTTAAAAAAAATTGATTTGTACTGTTCTGTTTTTAATTGTAAGTGTAACTTCATTAGGGCGAAATTAGTGATTTTGGCTCTTGGGTGAAATAAATGAAATCAGTGATAGGTGATCAAATTTTTCATTGAAATCAGTGTTTGAAAAGTATACGATCTTTTAAATATAAGTTTTCATAACATTTTGAAATCAAAATGACTGATTGGGATCACAATTCTTCACAAATTTAGTCGTACATACAGGGTGACTGGGTGACCCAAAATAAACAGAACCCAGGTTATTTGAAACATGTTCTAGAGCAGGGGTGAGCAGTTACTTTTCTGAGTGGGCCAGTTACACATAATAGACTTGGTTACTGGGCCGGAGACTCAAAACTCCATATAAAAAACTATGAATAAAAACATTGTATACACAAAAGGTTGTCCAACAGGCAACAACTAAGCTAACGTTTATATAAAAAGAAGAAGCATGGTGTAACAATCAGAGTCATTATTACGATATTCACACTTCTGTGGGCCAGATCTGGCCCGCGGGTCATAACTTGTCCATCCCTGTTCTAGAGAGAACATGACTTTTGTGCAAAGCGTCCTAGTTATCTGACACACAAATAGAATTTCAAATGTGAAATAAATTTTCTTCATTTTTCGTAGAAATAAATGAACATTTTATGAGTTCTGATTTTTTTTTGGGACGGGTCAGCCTGTATATTGAAAAATCATTACCGATCCAATTTAAGCAAATATAGTATGGCATAAATTGCTATATACCAGTAGTTGTGAATAGAGTGCAATCCTTGGATGAAGTACCAATTTGGATTACATGTACCTACATAGCACATCATCTGATATATAATCTGAATGAAATAGCACTTTCCATGGATTAATATGAAACATGCTAGAGTCGGTTTTGCTCCTTAGATAAAAGTAAAATGAGCATAAAAAATAATTATGGTGGTAAGTGGCAACAGGGACCTGAAATGTCCAGCAAATTCAACATAAACAGAAGAACATGACTGAATTTTAAAATATTAATATTATAAAACTGAAGCAATATCCATATAATAATACTGTTTTGCATCAACACAAAAACTACTGCTCATGTTAAATTTTGGAAGTATATAATTAGTCATCAGGCACACCACTATTATATCATCACAATATATTTCAGACAATGGAATATTAAATTAACGTGCAAATACAATAATTCGCAGAAGATAATATTTAAAATACTTCCTTCAAACATTATAGAAACATAATATTATCATAGCTAGGCTACTCGATGATTAGTGGCATAAAAATCTTTAGACAATAATAGTCATAGCAGGATGCAACATCATGTGGTGAGTCAGTGATATTGCATGAATATCAATAAATTTAATTTAGTTAGGTAGCCATGATCATACAAGCCAATAGAACAACTACGATAAGTTATGAAAATCTGGTGGCATAGCTTTGAATTTCTGGCGGCAGTGGCTTATCGGTTGAAGACTTAGATGTAACTGTGTTGAAATATTATTATCAATAATATCAAATCTTAATAAAGATGTAAATTACAAATACTGACATTTAATTAATATTATATAGTGTTTATTCATATATATACATAATATAAATTTAGGCATGAAACAAGTATCATACATACATAATCGATGACATATTAATATGGTGCAGAACATTACACTGGGGAATATAGCTATTAATTTTTATCAAATTAATTTCACAAACCGATAACGGTAAAGCTCAAAGCCACAAACAGAAATCCAAGGTTGATTTACTCCGTTCTTCCATTTTTTCTTTGAGATGTTAACAATTTAACATGTTACTTTATTATCATGAAATTTATCATATTAC